ATGCCATTTTGTTCATGTTGTATATGATTATAGTTCTGTTGTGATGACACTAAAATTTGTAACTAATGAAAGGAATACTATGTTTTGATTTAAATAACATTTTAATTTTATATTAGTAAGAAAAATATTACATATAAGGACAGGTTAAAGGCTAACCAGAATCAGACTCACACTAAGTCAAACAAAGACGTCACCTAACTGGATTTTTGAATACTACATTACAATCCAATATAAATTATATCACTGAAGCTAAACTCAAAGAAGAACATATCATATTGTGAGAGTTATTCTACTTAGGGCATACCAAAAATAGTGGCGGAAGTTCAATAATTCCTTATAAGAAGCTTTATCTCTGCACGATCTGATAGAGAAAAGAATGCTCTATTTTCCTATGCTATTTGATCATACTTCAACTAATATCATAATAATAAAATCTCGATAAAATCTGTTTTGTTCGCATGTGTCACGACAACATGAATGCTAGCGAGTATTTTTTTTGAATAACTTTTGATAGAAACAAGATGGAAAACTGCGATTTTCACCGTTAGAAAAAGGAGATGAAGATGCATCGAATCAATAGTATAGATTTTTCTAATATTGGCTTCTGAAATATTTTTATTCAATTTTCTAACTGTCGGGAAAATGTTTTCTTTATAAAAAAAAAAGCATAAAAGTGAGCTTTTTTCATAGAAATTGCTAGAAAATCGTATTAGAGGTTCGACTAGAATACATATTATTTATCTCAGTCTTCCACAGTTTGTAGATCTTCGATTAGTAGTTTGAATCTATACTTGATAATTGAGAATTCACTGTTAACAACTTACCAGATAGGTTTGTTCTTAAAAAGGTCAATTGAAAACCTCACAAAAACAGATCAAGATACTCTGTAATATACGGTTCGATGAATCTTCATCTCCTCTTTCTAACGGTGAAAACCGCAGTTCTCCATCTTATTTCTGTCAAAAGTTATTCAAAAGATACTCATCCGCCTTTCTTTAAAAATGCGCGTTAACGTGTGGCAGATGCAAACAAAATAGATACTATCAAGATTTTATTATTACGATATAAGTTGAAGTATGATCAAATAGCATAGAAAAATAGAGCATTCTTTTCTCTATCAGACTATATAGAGAGAAAGTTTCTTAAAGCTTCTTATAAGAAATTACCGAAGCTTCGCTACTACTTTTGGTATACCCTAAGTAATTATATGGTTATGTGCTATTTAAATCAGAGCATAGTATTCTAGAGATCTCTTTCATTGATTACAGATATTAGTTTCGTTAGAATAGAACTATAATCATATACAACATAGACAAAAAAACATAAGAGTTAGTTTTTCTCAATAATTTCTTTTGTTTTATTCGTGAAAAAAATGTAAATTTATTCTTGAAATGAAAAAATTAACTAAAAATGTATATTTTGTTTTAAAAAACCATCAATCAATTGATAATTATTTGATATTTGATTGAATTGAAGTAACTTCGACACAACTATGCGACGAAATTGCCACTTAGTCAATTTTTCCCTAATGAAGTTACAAATTCGTCAACTGAAGTAATTTCGATACAACATATATAAGGTTTCTGGATATCCGATCACCTTATACAATAAAGAAAATCAATAAAAAGTTCCACCACTGATTTCGTTCGATATTATGTTGACACATGAAAATTTTCTAAAGCTATATTCACTAGGAATCGATTTTCTGCACACATTGTTATATTTGAAAAGATAAGATCTAATTATTCACTAAAAATCTTCAGTAAACAAAAAAATCTGATAAAACACCATCATGTAATCTATTTACCAGTAAAACGCATTGCTCACTATCAGAGTTTCGTTTTTGCAAAACCTAAATACAATTTATGTGATTAATACGACAACTACAACAATAAAATTGGATTTTGGAAGAATGATTAAAAAAATTTCAGGAGCCCTGAGAAGTACCAAATGGCACAAAAATCTTATGTTGAAATCGTGTAAAAGATAAGTTTCAAGAAATGTTCTTGACAATTCACTACTAAATATGGAATGAAAAATAATCTATGGCGAGAAAATGATCTTATGAGTATACATCTGTTACTATAGTTTCCATTTTCTAATGTGAGTGAACGATACTTCTGATCAAAAGAAATTTTTCATCATTCAAAGTTTGGTTTTTTAAAGACTTAGTATATTCTTAACTAATTCTCTTAAAAAAAAAACAATTCTCATAGAATAAAATATAGTCCTGCATGCACAGTTTTACTTTAAGAAATCGTATCACCATTGCTTAATATATGCAGATTGTGATACAATTGATCAAAATATCTCGATACAAGTAATATAAATCAGAAAACTGATTCTTTTCTTATATTTATAGATTTTTATCGAATTGAAATCGATTAATTATTTTTTAGATAAAAATTTATTGAACATTTACCTTTAACAAAGCACACGTCCACTACTCGGTAATAATCTATTATTTGAATGCGCAGATAATACTAGAGTTTCTTTTTTCTTCGCAATGAGCAAACTGTACCTCGTGACCTCGTATAATATTATTTTACTTTATCATACTGCTTGTTTCGTATACAAGCACGTGTACAAATCTCTCATTCACTTTCTTTTTTTGTATTGATGCTAAATACGTTATTCACAAAACGGATTATAACACATACGTATTATCTGTCGAAAGTTATTTCGGGATGATCATATATTAATCTTTGTATATAGCTACTACTATGTATAATTTTTGTTTTTCTATTGCATAGTTAAAAATAGAACTTCAATGCTAAGACAATGACGAATATTGATGCATCCAAGTCACACCCATCACCCATCATCCATGTTTTTCTGCACTTATTGCTCAATAACATCACAGATATTATCAAGTTAATAAACGATAGATGTCGTATGGTTGTAACGTTCAGGTTGTAAGAAAATTTCTTAGTTAATTTTGAGAATCTAAGAAACTATATTATTACACGCTTAAAGGTAGAACCGAGAATTTCTTTTTTATTAGAAAATATTGATTTTTAACAATGAATTGCATGTAGTACACTCCACTGAGACATAGAATTCTATTGAAATACTTCAAATAAGAGTAGTTCAATATGAAAGCTAGAAGAAGAACAATTTTAATTAAAAAAAAAATATTTTCAAGAAGCCACAAGCTGTTAAATAAGTTAATGAACTCTTTTAAAATACATTTCAAAACGTACAAAAATCTTTCAATACTAGATCTTTTTAAAAATTTTGCTTACAAAGTTCATTCGTTTTATTCGATCTTTTACTTAAGAAAACTATTGTGATAAAGTAAGTTGTTTTTTTTTTCGAAACTTGTACACATTTTTAAAACTTTAGTCTATGAGAGCAGATAACGAAATTACAAAAAAGAATAATATAAATGCTACAAATGATTTTGTATATAGATATTCTCATCACTCTATATATAAGATCAAAGAATGTAGAATTTCAGAATTTGTATTCTGGACACTCATGTATTATACTCAGATATATTTGCTTTCATGACTCTATGTATTGAGTATGAATGTGAGGGAAGAGAAGACCACTATCCTCATTCACATTGTGCTTGTTATCGATTGATTGATTTTATATTTTGACATCAATATAACTGTTGTATTGATTCAAGATTAAGAATCATGCAAATGTCTCGTCAACTAAGATGAAGTTGTGAGTTAGTGTCCGTATTTCGTTTCTCTTTCTGTTCTATTAAGTCAATCTAAATGAGTATCTGCAGTATCATCATTCAGTAAAGAAAGACTTCTCACTTGAATCATAGCAGACAACATTGTCCTAATCTTACAATGTGTTGATATAATTAACTATAGATCACTGTGACTAAAAATTTAGTTTTTCCATTTCTAGATAAAATAAGCTTTCGTCGAAAAATTTCAACTATTGAAAAGAACAAATATTTCAAAAACGATCTCTTTTCCAAAGGTTCTATATGTTGTTTTATCATTTGAATCACAAGAAGTTTTACTTGATAAAATCATATATTATTTTTTCTGAGAACTCACCAGCTAGCGGTTTGATTCTGTATCATCTAATATTCCTATTGGAAGACTAACTTTAACGAAATTTCAACCTCTTTATCATGTCCCACAAAAAAAAATGTAAAAAATCTGGAATATTGAAAAAATAGGGTCTGTCGTAAATAACTATAATTTGACAATTTTAACATATTAAGTTTTGAATCGTCTTGAACGATAGAAAACTCTTTTATACTATTCTACTTTAACCTTTTTTTAGACTTCAATTGTAGTGTCTTATGTTTTGAAAAAATACTATTAAAACTATTTTGGCACACTTAAAAATTCGATATTCTAGTGATGGAATCGAGAACTACAGTACCCATTTCAGAGCTTGACTTATTCATTCGAATGAGATCATTCAAAAAGCTTTCAAACGAAAATAGTCTCACTAGGGTCATATTTGTGTTTTTTTTCTTATACAAATAAGAAAAACAACTTAGACTTAATTGAAAAAGGACTGTTAGCTTTATAGGAGATTTCAATCAAATATCATTTTAAAACTGTCAAGAAGTAATATTGACAATCAATTATGTACATATTCTGAAAGTTCATTTTTCACGCTACAAGCTTAGTTCAAGATTGAATTTCTGAAAGAGGAATCTTCATACGAGAACACCTCCACCATACAAATGCATCGATCAAGTCAGAATTCTCGTATGAGTATATATGAAGCATTCATTTTTTTGTGAATTCATAGATTTCTCATCACGAAGTTTACTTTCCAACAATTAATGGAAGTTATTGTGTAATGATTTATTAAGATTTTATAAAAATCATTATTTTATATTTAAACTTGTACGATATCTCAATCGATAAATCCTTACGTAAAATGTTGGCATGCTTGAATCTTGACACAATCAAAGAATTTCGAATAGATCTCGTAAGGAATAAATTCAAAAAGAAAAAGAAATTTTTGTTAACCCCTCATGAATTATAATCGAAGAAGAAAGATACTCTTTGTGAAATGAAATTGATACTACAATTTCCGTAGTAACGAAATTCGTTTATAGATCGAAGTGAAACACTCGAAACCAAATCTAAAAAAATTTGTTTATCTATATCAAATGAAAGATTTGAATATTATATGAATATGAAATTTTCAATTTTTGCTCATAGATTGTTTGTATGAATATGCGAAAAGAAAGTGAAAACTAAATTCTAGTTTATTGGACGACAGTATCAAAGACTCATTCGATTTGTTCAGTACAAATATGAATGGAATGCTGTTGAATATGTACATTTATTTTTCATTCTTGTGATTGTTTCGTTTGTATTATTAGTAGTTTTGTGTTCTCAGTTGTGACATAAACGTCATGCAAGCAAGATACATTCATTTGATGATTATCAGCGTGTTATGATATTTCTCAATCTATTGCTGTAGCTTTAGGTTTTTTCCAAAATGATATCCTTATTCTTCTTCCAAGGAAATGTCCGTCAAAATTAGTAATATTCTGAGAAAAGAAAGAGAAAAACAATACCCACATAATGATATAGTCTTCGTTTTTTTTTTCTTTTCGTTCTCTACAGTTGTCGCAAAAGAACGAATGTAGGGTTGTTAAGATACATTTTTTTTCTCTTCTGTTCTCAAAACATGACGCAATATAATCAAGATAAAAATTATCAAAACGTGGCAAAAAATGTGTTGAGCAACTTTGAATCGAGAAATTTCTCGAATGTTTAAATGAATACGAGACGAATATTGCACATTTTACCGACTTTATGAGCAATACTAAGCTGTTCGATGCATTTTCTTTGAAGAAACTAGGAAGTATTTTCTTACCCAGCCTGTCCCATGTATGCTGAAATCTTTCTTTATTATTCAACAAAGGATAAAAACCTTATGTCATCATTGTGTTCTTACATCACCCATAGGTAACATCAAACAGTGAAAGTATTTATAGGTAGGTAATCAACAGTCACATACAGTATTATAACAATGTCAGGCAAACAATTAAACACTACCGATAGAGTTCTCATCTGCGGTGTCGATACGGATATTTCTGATTATGATATCAAAAACGAACTGTTAAAAACTTATCAAGGTGTTAAGCGTGTTCAACGATGGTATTATAAAGATGAAACTCCGAAAGACCTTGTACAAGTTAATTTTACATCACCAAAACATGCTGAAAAGTTCCTTGAAGATGGGTGTTTTAATATTAATAATCTTCGCTGTCTACTGACACCTTTAGAACCAACTATGCGTCTAAAGAACACCATCGAAAGCAACAATGGATCAAATGGTCAATCAAAAATATTGACCGAAGAACAACAAGTAACTGATAAAATTCTTGTCCATGATGTTCCCACCAACATTACTGATGATGATCTTAGACAAGAACTGTCAAAAGTTTACCGTGGTATTAAACATGTCAAACGATGGTATTTTCAGGATGAATCACAAACTCCAACGGAACGTGTCCAAATTGATTTCGTATCACCCGCAAACACCAAAAATATCCTGGAAAACGGTTTCATTAACGTCGGTCAATTTTCTTGTCCCATAACAAGTTTAAAGCCAAGCATGCGTCTACGTAAGAAACTTGAAAGTGACAATGGATCAGATGGTCAATCAGAAATATTGACCGAGGAACAACAAGTAACTGATAAAATTCTCGTTCACAATGTTCCCACCAACATTGCTGATGATGATCTTAGAAAGGCATTGTCAAAAGCTTACCGTGGTATTAAACATGTCAAGCGATGGTATTATAAAGATGGATCAGAAGCTCCAATGGAACGTGTCCAAATCGATTTTTCATCACCAGAAAACACCAAAACTATCCTGGAAAACGGTTTCATTGATATCGGTCAATTTTGTTGTTCTGTGACAGCTTTAAAACCAAGTATGCGTCTACATGAGAAGCTCGAAAGCAATAGTGGATCAGATTATCAATCGCAGGCACTCACTGAACAAGATATACTGCACACATTTGAAGAGCAAAAACAGTAAGTGAAATCTTAGTTAATTAAGAAAATAAATTTAATTCATTTCTAATTGTAGACAATTGAACAATTTGATTTCGCATTTCGACACTCAGTTCAACAAGACCATTTCCCTTCTGTACAAGAATGCTCATGATTCAGTATCTGGGTAGACGACTATTATGGCTTTATTTACTAATGATCTTGTCTAATTTTAAATTAATCATATTAGAAATATTCTTTTTTTTATTAAAGTTGTCAGATCTTTTTCTAGAAACATATATTTTTTTTAAATCTAGAATGAAAATAAATATTTATGACACTCTAGCTCACTTAGCATTATACATAATCAATGTTGGTCAATTGTACCCATCAATTAAATGCAATAATTCACTATGATTTAATTGACGAACTTCAAACAAACTATTATAATTTTTCAATAGTAATATCAACTTGAGTTGCCGGTTTTGACATCAAATGTTTTTAAATAGTAACTCGATATATTTTTCGACAGTGTATCATAATAATACCTGCTATCTTCTAACAGCATGAAAATTTCTAAGCTATGCAATAGAATTTAACACTAAGTATAACTGATAAAGTAAGAAAAAATTTCATTTATTCTCATCTAGATCAGAAAATCCATAAAAAATCAAAATTTTCCCGCAAAACTAAACTATTAATTAATTTCTTCATTTTTCAAGATAGAAGATAGAAATTCATATGAGCATTCTCTTTAGCCGACGCTTTTCTTGCATGCTTCATTTTTTTTGAGAAAAAAAAAATAATGTAGAATAATCATTTATTTACTCTTATTCTTTTGCACATATTTTCTTGACAACAAAAATAAGCTATTATTAATAAGTGAATCATTTTAGATTTTGCCTGATCTCAATCGGTAAGTTTTATCACAAAAACAATTTATCACTTAGGAAAGTTCACCATAAATTTCTTCTTTTGGCAAGAATATGAAATTATCATCATTAATTTGATAAATAAAAAAGAGCTATGTTGAGTATTTATGTACAGTAATGAAATTAAAATTACACATGTGCGTTCATATGTGCTAGATTATGACTCATGAAAGATGAATTAACTATACTGAACAAATTTTTCAAGAAACTCCATCATAAGACAAAGCAATAGAGAGTATCACTAATCAAATAAAAACAAAGTACACATATGCAACATCGTAATTGTCTTATTTCAATTGAAAAGAAACGCATCACCTATGAATCCAAATATATAATTTATCAAGTACACAATAGTGAAGATATTTCGATGATGTTATTGTTAGTAGGTATAATGTTTTCTAAAAATATTAAAAAAAGAGCTCGATGTCATTTTCTCGAAGAAATTATCCACAAAAACAAATGCTCCCATTTTTTATGACATTCGGTAACGAAACTTGTTTGTGGTATATTTTGGTCGTCTGTGTTGCTAATTTTAGCAACAAAAATAAAGCTTTCAGGCAGAATTCAACACGTTCCATCGAACACATCTATTTTGAGCACAATTTGATTTATCATTCATATCCATTTTCTTGAACTATTGCGCTAAGGAATTCCATTAGTATCTTAATTTTACAGTGTTTTTAGACAATTAAGCGTTCTGCATTGTTTTTCTTGATAAGTATGCACATATTTGGATATATATTTGAAAGCAACATTAAATTCTGAACAAAATAGAGTTTTTAATTAGTCAAACATTCAAATTTTATTTACTTCGAAACTTTTTTTTTTCGTTAGATTCTAATGATAAATACATCATTTGATGGAACATCAGATGCTGGTCATAAAAATCTGGTTGATTTTAACTTTTTTTTGCTTTCATTCTGATTCAAAGTATAATTTTAAAAAAAAAAAGGATGAAATTTGGTAAAGAATATTATTTTTAGTTTCTTTTCAATGTAGTTATGATTGTTAAAAAATGATCGAATATTCTCAAAGCTAGTTAAAATCTACACAAGTTTATTTGTCTGTCACTTCGCTTCTTACTGATATGCTAAACTCTTAGCTTTGCTAAAAAAAAAAGATCGATACGTTCTAAATAGCTCAGCATCAACTAAAGGAAAACCAATGAAATTTTTTTATTGATAGTAAACTTGAATAATCTCTATCTAAAATAAAAATTTCAAAGAATTCACTTCTGTCATTGACAAGAAAATAAGCTCTTTTTCAAAACAATTATTTGCAATAAAATAAATATGACATAGATCAATGACAAGAAGTATGACATATTTCTAATAAACAATGGCTGAAAAATAATCGTATACTTTTAGTATCATTCACCTTGAAACAGAGCAAAAGAATAGTAGCACGTGTGAGTAAAAACTTAATATTTTTATATTATAAAATAAATCAAAGTACGATGATCTGATCAATGTAATATTTATTTATGAAGGAGAAAGGATAAAATACATAATAGTATATTATTATTTTCAATTAAAATTACATACAATTATTCGTATTGTTCATGCACTTTCGAAAAATACTATGCAGTTTTTGAGATAAACGAAAAACAAAAATTTATTTGCTCGTATTTTTTGTTACATTTAATACCAACAAGTTTTAGAAGAAGTAAATGATACATGAGAAACTATGAAAGCAAAATGTTGACACAGAGTCAATAAATTTGCCATTTAAAAACCTTTTAACATCGCTATTTTTCTATTTATTACAAAACCACAATTAATAAAGATGTTCAGTTTTTATCATTATCTCTTCAAAGAATTATTTCTTTCATTTTTGTTTATCAGTTTCGTCCGATAAAGAGCGTTTTTTTTTTTTTTTGTAAAGAAAAATCGAAACAGATACATTTTCATGGTATCCAAGTGTCTTAAGATGTCAGTATGATTCTTATGCTATTCTGATTGGTTATTTAACTAAGTCGTTTCATTTTTTTCTCATGATCATTGTTTTGTTACAGACAAAATAAAGAAAAGGATGGCGACGACAGAACTCGTCTATCCTCTTGCTTTTCCAAAATCTGTCGTACATAAATGTGAAATATGTGGAAAAATAGCATCACGTATGTGTTCAAAATGTCGTGTAACATATTATTGTTCAGAAGAACATCAAACAGCTGATAATATTGGTATCCATGATAAAATTTGTTCAACATTAGCATCACTTCGATTAAAACAACCATTTCTTCCATCTGAAGAAGAACGTCGTGAACGTGATCGTGAAATACGTGATAGAAAAATTCATTTAATTGAAGTTACTCGAATGATTGGAGAACGACATGTAAATTTTTGCTAGAAAAAAATAAAAATTCTTTTTCATTATTTATTCATAATATTATATAATTTAGGTCTTTCAAGATCGTTTTGAAGCTGCCGTACCAGCAGCACTTGCTTCACTTAAATTAGCTATTGAAGTTTATGGTCCACGAAGTGTCGAACTCATTCCATCATATTTAATTTTAGCTGAAGCTAGTTTAGGTTTAAAACAATTAAATCAATGTTGGGAATATTTATCTCAAGCACAATATACAATATTACAGCAACAACAACAACAACATGAACAAACATCTTTAGCAATAACATCACAATTAGCACGAAATATGGCTCAATTAAGTATTGCTAGAAAAGAATATGATGAAGCAGCAAGACATTTAGCAAATGATGTTTGTATTTAAATTAATAATTATACTTTTATTTAATCGATTATATTTAGATTTATGATGCTTCACTATTCTATGGTACAGAACATCATAAAGTAGCTGGAGGTTATTTTCTTTTAGGTAAAGTATTTAAATTAATGAATCGGCATGAAGTAACAGAATCTTTGTATACACAAGTAACACAAATGTGGTATAATTTTTTACGTCGTCTTCTTCAATCACGTGTCGTTTTTTCTGACATGGATGCGATTTTAGGAAAAAAAGATGATGATAATGGAGATGAACTAACAAATTCATCAAAACTTGGTAAAAAAAGAAAAAAAAAGAAGTCTATCTATTGATTTATTTTTTTTTTTGTTTTTACTTTTTAGATTTATCAACTGAAGCTGAAGCATTTAATACACTTCAAATATTATTAACTTATCGTCTTGAAACTCAACAAACAAATCCAATGATACAAGAATTAAATAAAATTTATCATTGTTTAACAATTTTATATTTTCTAGCACGAGATTATATTCAAGTACATGATTCAATGAATAAAATAAAAGATTGTGCCATACAAGATATAGAAGATGATCAACAACGAATACTCAAATTTCTTGAACAACTTGGTCAAATGAAAGCATTAATGAAACGTCAACAACAACAAAATTAATTCTTTTTTTTTTTTTTTTATTCTTATAATTTTTTTTCTTTTTGTTTCGAATGAATACAGTGAATGAATCTCTGTTTGATCAATTTTTCTTTTTCCAAATTATTTTTCTTTTCATTGTAGATTTCATAGGAAATAAATTGAAATAATGTGGCAAGAAATGAGAAAACATGAAAAGAAATTACGTGGAATGATTGTTGATTATAAAAGACGATCAGAAAGACGAAAAGAATATTATGAAAGAATTGTTCGTATATTTATGAAATGTTATTTTATGATTTATTCAATTTTTTATTTTAATAGAAACGTGATCCAGCAGAATTCTTACAAATTTGGGGTCGTCCAGCTAAAATTCATTTGGATCCAGCAATAGCAGCTGCTGCAGAATCAACATTGTAAGTGAGAATATTGAGACCTGTTCATTCTATTAAAGCGACTATACTTAAGATTTCCCTTGCTCTTTTCGAATACTTCTGGTTCTCTACGAGAGTACAACTGATACGGGAAGTATCCTCTGCAAAAGCAATGCATAGCCTTTGTCCTAGGTATCTCTAGAAAAAATTTCAATCCAATCGAAAAAAGTAAGATCTAGTTCATAAGCGGATCCGATGGCTTTTAAAGATCCCTTCAAAAATCCCTAAAGAACTATTTTTAGAATTTTTTCCTCGAACATATTATAGTTAAAAAGAGTGGATACTACTCTTAATGTGACTATGATGATTTCAATAGACTTATGTCAAATTATTTTCGTAGTAGTAGCTTTTTTTTTTTATTGAAATTTAACAACATGTAAATCTGTTGCTTTTTTTGTTGTTGTTGATTATAGAACACCATGGCGTGATGATGAAACCACAATGATTGATCGATTTGATGTTCGTTCACATTTGGATGTAATTGATGAATATGCTTTAAAAAATCAACAGAATCAACAAGTCTCCGAGTCGGTACTTTTTCAAGTTTTTTTTTTTTTTTTTTGCGTACAATTTCGAATCGATTCAGCAAATAAAGAATATCTTTTATACATAATAGATCATTATCGGAAGCAGAACAAAATGAAGAACGTTTATGCAATTATGAACGTTATCGTGTCTTAATACATAATGAATCAAATAATGGTAAGAAAAATAATAAATGATTGCGAAAAAAAAAAAAATGATCTTAAATTAATAATATTTAATTAATTTTTCTTTTAGTTAGTGAAGAACAGTGTTTACGTGATATTGAATTTGATGAAAAATTTGGTGCAATTCGAGACGATCATCATCCAGCATCACGAGAGGCCAAAAAGAAAAAGTAGGCTTTGTCCAATAGAGAATAAAAAAAAAAGCAAGGAAAGCGAGCATCCGAAAAGTAGACTTTTTTTTCTCAAATAATTGAATTGATTCATCTTGTTTCTCTTATTTTATTTTAGATTAACAACAAAAAAAGCCGAAATTGGTTTTGTATATGATGATACACCAATTTCAACATCATCAAAAAAATCGACAACAGCAGATGAAACTGATGACGATGATGATGGTGATGATAATAATGATGATGATTTAGATTTGGATATTGAAATAGATATAAGTCAATTAACTAGTGAAAATAAAGCATCATTAAATAAAGTTGCTATACATTATGGTATGGCATTTGGTGATTTTGCACGAATGTTAATACTTGATCGAGAAGAAATGCAAGCTATTAGAGAAAATAAATTAGAAAGAGAACAAGATATACCTGTGAAAGTAAGACAAAAAAAAAATATTTTCAATTATTATTATTATTTAAATAGGGTCGTCGAGCTCGTCGTGAACGTCGTTTAGCAAAAGATAGACGAATAAAAGAACGTGATTTTTGTCCACCGAGGTATTTTCAATTGATTTTTGTTTTGTTTTTTATGTTCAATTTCAAATTGATTTTGTTTAATTTAGTTATTTAAGTCGTGAAACACCAAAATTACCTGTTGTAAAAACAAAATCTCGATCTCGATCTCCATCACCTCCGGATACAACACCAGTAAAAGAAAAAATTGAATTTATTACAGCATTTGGTGATGATGAAATATCAAAAAATAATGAATTAAAACGAAAAAGACCTTTTGAGAAATCATTACTTGATGAATGTCGTGAAGCAAAAAAGAAAGCTGAACCAACTGTTATGCCAGTACGAGTTCGTCGATTGGTTACACCACCACGATTACCTGCACCAACGTAATTATTTGTTTTCTTTATTTTTTTGTTTTTTGAATTTAATTTTTCATCAAATCGTTTTGGTTTTGTTCTGTAGAACATCATTTGTTCCTTGTCGATCAGTTCAACGAAAAAGTCAAGTTCTATTATCTACATTACAAAAACTAAAAGAAGATTCATCACCGTATGTTTTATCTTTTTATTTTTGTTTAATTTCTAATTTTAATTTTTTGTTTATATATGAAGGGAAAGACGAGTTTTATCAGATGATGAAATACCAGCAATAAAAATTGTTAGAACAGAAAAAAAAGATGATAAAGAAGACAATAATGATGATGATGGTGATGAAGACGAAGATGATGATCTTCAACAATATCTTAAACGAAAAGAAGCTCGACAGTAAATTTAAAATAAATATTTTGTTTTCTTCTATAGAATATTGTTCTTATTTAAGACGTAATCAAAATTCAATGACAACACCTTCAAGTCATAAAGAACAAAATGGTTCCAATGAATCAACAATAACTAAAGTAAAAAAAAACAAAATTCTCTATGTGATATCATATTTAATTAATTTTTTTTTTTCAATAGACTTCATCGGCTAAAACTCCTCAAGAAAAACTTCGACGTCGAATGCAAAGTTTATTAAAAAAACAATGTAAATTATTTTAGTTTTTGTTTTTTCATTTCTATTATTGTTCTATTCTTTTGTTTTTCGTTAGTTCAAAAAGACAAAGATCAACAACGTGAACGTCAAAAACGAGAAGAAAAAGAACGTGAAGCTCGTGAGTCGGAATTACGTCAATCATCAGCTAAACTTCGTCATCGTTCACGACGTCATTCAAGTAGTCGATCGAGATCAAGATCGAGATCGAGAAGGTAAATTGTTTTGTTTTCTTATGTTTTTTCTCTCATCTTTGGTTTTCCTTAGCCGTTCTCCATCAACTCGTCGTCACCGTCATCGATCATCATCATCATCATCATCATCATCTTCTTCATCATCATCTTCATCAGACAATCGTAAGAAGAGAAGATCATCATCAGTAAAATCTCGTTCACCAACGCCAGAATTTTTACGACAACGTTTTCGTCGTAATCCTCGTCGGCGTGAATCATCACGATCATCTTCATCTTCATCATCATCACGTTTCGATAGAAGTTCACCAAAAAGAAAACGAACAGATTATAAATAAACGGACAGTCTTTCTTCTGTATTACTCTCTTATAATACATGTTAATTTTGCTTGTTTTTTCATTTAATAGAAATATTGGGCATATTTTGTATTTTTGCGGAATTGTTCAATGTTTGATATCAAAATAAATATTATTAAAACCTGTCTTTCTATTTAAGAGGAATAAAATACTGATATATTGTTTGAAAATCAACAAACATAAAAAAAAATGAAAGTACTCATTTGGAAGAAGGAAACAATCCTATTGCAAAAAAAAACCATCATAAAAACGACGTCATTATGTGTGAACAATCGACCAGCAGAAATATTGTAATTAAAGTAATTTATTTTCTGACAAACTTCCGAAAAGAATATTACGGCAGTCGTAAACGGTTGTATATAACGTAGTATGCTATCGTATTCGCATATGTGCTCCTTCTCGATTAAGAGCGAAGCGACTTTCTTGTTCCCTTTACAGACACAACATTTTTTTTTTCTACAAAGAAAACACTTCATGTTTAAATGATTTTTCGAGCTGATCTAAATAAAAGTATTTCTTTAAAAAATACTATTGTATTTGTTGCTGAATTCAAAACAGAAAAGTTAGGTGTTGGATAAGTGCAACTCTACTAATCACTAACTTATAACCAAATTCGATTGTGGACTACAGGTGTTTATCATCTCCATGTACAACGATCGTTATTTGACATATGATGCAGTATATGACGGTTTACAATTGTGCTTTTTTAACTACAGCTCATTCATATGAATCTTAATGATAGAAATGAAAGATGGATCTTCTTTTTGTATAATTCAAAAGAGCTTTTTTCGTTATATAGAATATTATACTTTAATGTATGACTCTGACAAACCATTTTGTGTGAATAGTGTCATTAGGAAAAAAGTGTAGAGATTAAATAGACGAATAAATAAATCGAACGACTACTGCACAGAAAATTTGAAATATACTTTTCGTCAGATTTATATATAGAGAATGAATCTTGTTACATACATTCATTAGATCGGTCAGATTGTCGTAAGTAGATGAGTCTTTCGAAAATATCGAATGAAAATAAAAAATGATAGACTTCGACTTGGTATCGATACATGCGAAGTATTATGCGAAACGAATATGAAATAGCTCACATTTGTACTTCAGGTCATAATGTCGAAACTGTTGTATATATGTTAGCAAATATTGAGTAGAGCATGCAGATAGTTTCAATAAATCGAATGTTTTATTTTTTTATCATTTAGTAAAACAGTATGAACAAGCAGATAGTCTTTGTCTTTTTGCTACAAAAATTACAGAAGCACTATTCTACTAGAATTTAATTGTACGAGAAGATATCATATAAGATATTCTCTTTATCTATATCTATAAATTTTTTCGATAGTAAATATAACAAAAAGGAAAACCAAATCCTTCACTTGTTTCGGTAATAACGATATCACATACAAGATCATATTTGCCTCTACCCAATTGTGTTGTTGGTTGGTAATATTGTGAAAAGTGTAGGTCCTTATTCATACTTTTTTGTCACTCATCAAAGATAGAAGAATGAATTGACTGACAATGTACTATCTCATCAAGACAAGATGATTTTGTTTTCTTAACTCTTATATATAAATTCTATCATTAAACACTAGATCAACAAATAAACAATTCTCAAAGCAATGCTGTTTTTAATACTATCTATCTAGAGTTAGTATCATGTTGGTGTAATGAATATGAACGTTTAAATAGATATTGCAACTAGCTTGACTAGTAACACTGGATTTATCTAAAAACGAAAATCACCTATGTATATTATTAATTATGTTAATACATCAATATTCTGAAATTATTTCAAATAGGATATTCTAATTGAAATAATATCACACTAAAAAAATACTAATCAACTAATCATTCGAGCGTTTTTTCATTTGTTTATTATTATGCTTTGGATTTGTTTTGAAGAATATATAGTAGATTCAAAACTTTTATGTGATTCGAATATTTTAATTTTGTTAAATATCAGAAAACAAATTTTCGAAGATCTTACATTCGATAAATTTCTTGATTTATATTATCAAGATGAAATTTTCTTAAATTGACGTATTAATTCTCAAAAACATCTTTGAACAAATCATTCTACTGTGTGCAACAAACAAAAAGAATTCTTACTAAATATGAATAATTACTAGTTGATGTTGAATATTATTTTACAAGTATCAACACATTGTTCCATTGTGTTTATTATTATGCTAAATATTTTTAATCGTTTGTTATAGAAATTTAAGAATATATCAATATGTAGAACTATCACATGGCATATTTATTCTGATGTTATATCTTCTGATTTATATACTTTAGGAAACTTTTCAATCTAACTAATAATATGTCTGTTATAAATTATTTTGATATCAAACTAAACAAGTCGACCAAAGCATTCTTGATCATGACATTCATCTACTGGATAAGTATTTGGTAAAATAAGGGTTTCTGTCGTTAAAGTCAATGTTGTGCCTTCACGTCCAGGAAATGTAGCTTGAATGAGAGCAGCAATCCAATGACCATCTGTGGGGATAGGAACTGTAAGTGAATAGGAAGCAGTTGAACCTATTTGATCCTGTAGAACAACGATAATATTAAAAAACAAACAAATGCAAAAATAAATGATTTCTAATACAACCTCGAATTGAACAGCTGTATTTGTCCAAATAATAGGATTAGCAACAACCTGACCATTAGTTAGATCAAGTTTTGCTTGTCGAAAATCACGTCTAGAAAATGTGAAAGAGTATTAAAGTTTAAATCGGTTGTTCCTCTTATCATACCTCAAAGTATCACTGGTTCGAGCTTGATAAGCAGCAACATCTGCAACCTTCGGTTTTCCAGCACTGAAATCAATGATAGCATGGATGATACCATGTGTTCCATTCACAGTACGTGTCCATTTCATTGATGGCAATGGTATTCTCTATATTTCTAAGCAATTAAATAAATACAAAAAGTTAGTATTTACTTACATCTGCAACGCTTAGATAAAAACTAGCTAGGCTTTCTTCATATCCTCTTATGCTATGGCCCGTATTAGGTATACGCCTGTGTAAACAAACATATTTATATCACTTCGTCTTATGTTACACAGTTCTGTTACCTTAAATGAGATCCACCAGTAGCTACTTGTAAATCATTCCAGAAAAAGTCCTAACAATAATTAAAATTTTATTTTTTATCCAACTAATAGACGATAGATATAATTTTACTTCACTATCAGGTAGAAAAAACTCATCACCAGCACCTTGAAGTTGAAAAATTTTCGTTTTGCTATATCGATCCAAAAATGCTATAAAAACAGAAATTAGTTTTTTTTAATAATTTAACAAATTATTCTATGTCTTACAATATGGATCAACCATTTCACCCAATTTATCAAAAATAGAGTTGTTCATATATCGAGTAATATTCATTTCGTAATAATCATAAAATGCAAATGTCCATCCACTAAGAGACTATCAAAAAGAATGCATTATTTTCATCGATGAAATTAATACGTACACGATAATGTGACATCATGCTCTAGAAACAAAAGTATAACAAAAATTATCTGATTCATATAGTCAACTTCTATCTTACTGGTCGAATGTTCAATAGATCCATGACGATAGGAACTGCAGCTACCACTCGTGTATTATCGACGGCTGCAGTTGTCCATGCTAGAATTCTACGTAAAATGCCGAAAAAACTTTTATATGTTAATATTTACTTGTCCATCCACGCTATAAAAGACGAAATTAACATGGGAGTTTGACAAAAATACGAAATGAATATACGACACTTACTTTTGAAGCACCACCGATAACAAATTCTTCTGGTACAATAAGGTTTTGTTGTTTTAAGAATTGTTCAATGGTATCCATCGCTCGTACGACTGCCTATTTATTTTATCAATGAAGTCAACAGTTCCAATCATATGCCAACGAGGGAATATATCTAACTGCTAATTGTCAATCAAAATGATATGTTGCTCATCAATAGGTCTCTTGATCTTTAGTATATCCTGAAAGTTTCAATCAAAACGGACAGTTGCTTCGCAAAATATTGAATATTCAAAAAAAAAAATCATATGCTACGGAAAAGTCATAAAGCCAACTTTTCTTCAGTATTTAATATCTTTAGAACGAACCATTTACTTCGACTGAAACTTTCAGGATATTCTAAGGATCAACAAACCTATTTATGGGTAAAAATTCAGATGAAAAGTCTTTTTTTGATTTTTCTACGAATACTTTACCATTAGCTGAAAACTCAATAAAACGTTCATATTTCCAGAGGAAAGTTCTATGAAGAGAAGTCATTTCAGAAGTTTTTCACTGTCAGTGAACTCTACTTATGGACAAAATATCACTTGATCGACGATTAATAGTTGGATATGTTTTCTCGTAAGACTGTTTTCTTTTGTTTTTTGCTTACTTTCGTCATTGGAAAACGAAGAAGGACTGTTGGATCACTGCCATTGGTATCAAAAAATTTCTTCCAAGTCCAAGCAATAAGTGCATCTTCATCTCGAGGCTTATTAAATGGATCATCCTTTAAACAACTCAATCATCATAGAAATAATAGTTAGATTATAAAATAAAATACCCAAAAACGAAATGGTTGATTAGGAACCTGGTAAATTGTAGCTGTGACACTATCTGTACTCAGTGCAAGATTCGTCATTGGATTCGTTGTTGGCATTCTATAATTGATCAGAATGAAGCACGCAGAAAGACTATATGCTTTCGTAAAACAGAAATCCAAAGAGCGTATTGTTTAAGCTAAAATACCAATTTTTTCGCAAAATTTCTTGGTGCGAAAAAATCTCATATATATAAATATTGAATGCAATTGATTCAGTTTTATTATTTATTAACACTTTGCGGATCGTGCCCGCATATATATGGTTTTGAAATTTTTACTAAAGAAAGAAGCCTTTAAATACACTAAAACTATTTTTCTTTTTAATATGGAATTTTTATTTCAACATACGTGATACACATATAGACGTTATGAAATAGCCCTACATTGACTCATCAACCAACTAGACTTACTGCTAAACACTTTCTGTATCTGTACCTTAAACAATAAATAGAAAAACTCATCAGAAAACTTGTGTTGTATGTACACAGACACTAGCCAAAGACCTAGAAAGAAGGCTGATTCAAGCTATATATGTAAAGATTGCACTGTAAATGTTTGTATTCTTAGTTGTTTCGAGGAATTTCATACTGATTACATTTTTATTATTTTTTTTCACTAGCTTCAATTCTCATATACTANTTTGTACGTTGTATTCATGGTACAAATACGGGAGTATAACTATCGCTTTTCACGTCAAAAATTGCTTTGGGTTTTAGCTTTCATCAAATTCTAGGATAGTTCAGGCTCCTGATCATCAATACATTAAGTGGAAAGTCTAGATCTATCTGACGACTAAAGCGACTTTTTACATTAGTTTATAACTGATCTTTTCACATCCAGCAGTGATCTAGTCTAGAATCTGGGTGTGGATGTGAATGAGAAGAAGATCTACACCCATCCACACCCAATCGACATACGCATCGATGAAGCGTTCTAGCACAATACCAATGCTTTTAGTAATATTTTTTCTGACACCATATGTTTGTTTTGGAAGTATCGCAGTGACATTTGTCTTAAGGAATTATCTCTGCTCCCTTCGAATTAGCAACAAATATTAGAAGGAGAAATTGCAGACATCAAACCTTATGAATATGCAGTGTTGGTGTAAATGTTGAAACAATAACAAAGAGTCACTGATACAAGATTCACTGTAGAACTAATTATACTGACATCCGCGTTCACTGCAACGTGGAGACACCAACTGTATCAACGTTTGCCCTTTTTGTAGTAGTGTATTTCAGCGTGTTAGTGTAAACTAACTACATTTAGTCGGTGATCAATAAAAGAAAACTGTACATTCTTATCAGACCTACGAAACTGAGGAATCAATTTATCTGAAGTCAGTAACCATCTTTACTCGACTTAGAATGAAACAGAAAAGCAAATAGTTCAACGTTAATTGTAATATAACCTTTCGTTTTCATTTTACATCAGAAATTGGTGAATATCAGCTCGTACTTAAAATTTGATCTCATTGGTTTTTCAGAGCTCTATTTTAGGTCACACAAGCTGGGATGGAAGCGTGATAAACATATAGCATAGTATAAAACCAAAGTTCCAGAAATTCAAGTTAATATAAAAGAGCTGGATGGTCAATACCATGTTAGTCAGTCGATATAGAACTGTCACGCATCTAGTTAGAAGCCGGTTGAATTGGGCGATGTACGTCGATAAGTTTTAGCTTTTGTGAATCATAGAGAAAAATACTCTGATAGTTTCTGAGGTTCTTAAAATTAAATTTTGTTCTTTGAGATGAACTTTGCTTAATATTGACATAACCATCTGGTGAGGTCCACACGGATCCTATATAGACAACAAGTGGTAATCCTGAAGGTAGTCGTGTTAGGATTAGAATTTACAACAACAAAGGATGCCTACATCATAATACTAATTCATTTAAATTATCTTACTGATGCTTGTTCATGTTGATTACTAATACTTGTTTTTGCATGTACTAATTGATCTATATCTTTGACATAGTTTTCATTGACTTCTAATAAATTATGTTTAAATGATCCTAAACTTTCTTTTGTTTTTACATCATTTATTTCTAACTTGTTTACATTATCTGTTAATGTATCAACTTTGGTTTGTAATTCTGTAGCTATACGTTCAGTCAAAAAATAATTTTAAATGCATGATATTCTTTTGCTTTTTGTTATTCAACTGACTTCTGTAGCTTCAATGGTTTCTGCTTCATTCAAGGAATCAAGTTCACGTTGATCATTATCTAAATGTTTATCAAGCATTGTAATTATTGTTGATTCTTCATGAATTTGTCTTCGTAATGATTTCATTGTGGTCTTAATATAAGAATATTAAATTCGATAGGATAAAAAAAGAAAAAAAAATTTACTCTCATTGCATCTTCTTCTTTTTCAAGTTTTTCTGTTTCACGTTTCATATCCGTACTAATTGAATCATTGGTATAAAATGCTCGTTGTCAATTTTCAGTAACTGTTCGTAAGATTTCTGTATCACGATCACGTTGTTGATCAAAACGTGCTAATGCTTTTTTTATCGCGATCAATTTGTCTATAGATTTTAATGTTGCATAATAAATCTTTTCACATAATAAAAAAAAATTTGTGGGTCCTCTATTAAGGTTTAGCGCATGAACTTTTTCGAAGTTTCGTCTCTAATATGAACTCCTATCCATAAAGGATCGAATATTATTATTACATTTTAGTTAGGTCAGTATAATTATACTTCAAATACAATGTAAAAATTTAACAAATAGGAGTTCTTTTTTTACCATTGTTTTTTTTTTAATTATATAGTTTTTCTTCATTAGACCCTTGTAAGTCGACTTCTTCGATGAACATGTTTATTCATTTTGGTTTGCTTGAAAACATTTCAGATGAGTCAAAAATTATAGATCGAGAGCAAAATATGTATATGACTTAGGAATACTGAATCTCAATAGTGAAAAAACAAAAATTTTCCGTCAAAACTAATAGTTTGAACTTTTCAAAGATTATTTCACTCCTCTTAAACAAAATTTCAAAGCCCGTATTGGAAAAAAGTATTCTAATTCAAAGCTTTAGACTCGTTGGAAATACTTTTCTAGCGGATGAAAAGTACGCGAACATGCTCTCGAAAAACTTTTTGATCAATCGTTATTAATTTATTTTCACATTCATTAATGGTCGAAGTCATATCAACATTTGAATCGTCATCATTCCAAAAATGAAGTTTAATATTAATCATTTTCTTTTGCTCCTGCACTTTTTATAGATTTCACTTTAGCTAGCAATAGCTTTTTTCTTTCTCCGAAGAAAATATATTTCCGTTAAGCTATTATTTTCTATTCTATTCATTTTCTATTGCACTTGAGAATAAGTGATAGAAATAGAAAACGATATTGTTTTACTGAAAGAATTCGTTTTTAATGAAAACCTACCTTCAGACGATGATTGGCTATATGATCAAAAAGTTGAACATGTATGTATTATGATGATGGGGAAAGTATTCATGTATGTATCGATTGATCAAATTTTACGCGTAAGATAAATTAACAAAACAAAATAATTAAAGTTTTTTTCCCATTATGAGTTTATAAGATTAATATTAAATACAAACTCTTGCTGAAGTTATTATATATCTGCATGAGACTGGATTTATTTCATATACGGTCATATTTTATTTACTTAAAAAAATAATAGTAAACAATCCTGCATTATTCCATGTTTTCTCATGTTCACTTAACAAATGATAGCTCTATTTCAATATTTATTGTATACATATAAATCAGAATTTCATTATCATATATCATTCTTTGTTTATCGACCATAGTATTTGGAAGTACTTAAGTGTTATCTACAGACAGTTATATTCAACAAAAGAATTTCAAAATAAATAAAAAAATTTAGTAACATTTGATTTTTTTGCCTCCTTTCACATATTTTATACTTCGAATGCCAAAAACATCTGAAACCTATCCGATAGTGTTCTACTTTTTGTTTTATTTTATATTTCGAATAAAATATATCTGATGTATTTTTTTTGTTCACCTAAATATATTGAATATTTCAAAGAATAAAAATTTAATTGAAATATGTAACTAACTGAACCAACATCTGGAAACCATAAAACATCACCAATATTAATATAATAAATATAATCAGCATTTTCAATAATTGCTTTTACAGATTTCGAATTTTCATCAGCATTATCTTTTGATGAATTTGATGTACTAGAAATATTACATTTACGTTTCATCATTTTTTCATTCGATTTATAATCACGATTGTGAACATGTCGAGCAATAATTCCAGTAAGTAATGTCATACCTCCAGATGAAAAATAACGACCAGGTTCTGATATTAATGTAATACCTATAAGAGAAATTCTTTTTTTTCGTGACATTATATTGATTGAATCAGCAATTTTATTGGTAGACATATTAAATTTATGATGATAGATTTTTGCATGAATGAGCAAAGATTATACGTGTAGCATAATCAAAATTATTACCACATGTTTCACGTACTAGATTGAGTTCTTCAAATGAAGCACAATCAAAACTACCACCCAATTCAGCAATAATTTCAGTGATGAAATTCTTAGGATTACTCTTAATTGCATAAAAAGGATGAATACGACCAAGAAAATGCATCCATTAGAAATATTGACGAGCATAATTAGACAGGTTAACAATATAAAATGGTTCATCATTATCAGACGAAAATTCTTCACAACACTGTCTAAATAAACAAAAAATTATCAATGTGATTAGACAATTCGACATTTTTTTCTTACCTGACAATAGATGCTGTAGACTATTCGTATTCAACATGTTTGGCACCCAATTTAGTTTCAAACAGTTCTTTTAGATGATGAACTTGAAATGCTTGTTTTCGCTTGTTAACTTTTGTTGCTTGTTCATCTTGATCATGACATAAATCACATAGAATTTCATCTGCATCGTTAAAACTAAACTGATGAATTAAATTAGTTCCTACTGGGCTCTTCAGTATTATCATATTCATTATCATCAGCTTTTTTAGAATCATGATAACTTGTTTCAGGTTCTGATGTTTCATTATGATGATGTTGATGATCAGTCATTATTGTTTTACCTAAATTTGAGAACAAATGAAAATGACAAAGCAGTAGCAGATTCAGTATAATCATGACTCATTCTCTATTGTACTAGCTGGCATCGCTGTTATTTATAAACTCTCAATTGGTATATATAAGGGGTGTTATAGAATTCTGAAGTGATTTTATAATTCATCGTTCTCATATTAAGACAAAGCAAAGTTCTTGAAACTTTGGCCAGTTATTATACCTGCTTGATACAAAAATAACTATAATATGTGAGGTCTATAGCTTTTACTGTAGATCACAATTTGCAACAACACTATCATGCAGTTGTTTTTTGATTTTTCAACATCTTAAGCTAATAAAATGCGATACAAAAATTGTGCGAGAAATGTTGATCCCAGAATGTCCTTGACAAACACGTGCCGAAGTTATAAATATTTCTTTCGCGAAGATACATTCATTTCTACATGCGTCGTTGAGAGAGATAAAAAGGTTACAATAAAAAAACAGCTTCAGAATGAGTAGATGATTTACGAAATGTAATTTGTAAAGACGATAGCTTTCGATATCGTCAATCGTTGTGAAAGTAGTAACCGAGTTGATGAGAAAAATTGAAAACATTGTACATTAGTGTTGTTTCAGATTTTCATTGATGATAAATGCTGTAGTCTTCAAAGTGTTAGTACTAAGTAGATGTAATTATTTGCCAATATTTCAAAGAGTTTGCTTTTTATTTAATGCAAAACGATGAATTTTAAAATCATTCCAAAACTTCTGGGATACTCTTATAACCAAGGTACAACCATAATGACGTTACTTACTCTAGCATCTTATTTATAAATGAAAATATTTGTTTTAGCTATGAAATTTAATTGATTATTTTTGAGATTTTTTTCTTGATATTTTATAGACTAAACAGGAATAAATTTTCTTTTAATACATCACAATGTTTAGAAAATCGAACAATCAAAATCATTTCTTTATTTGTGTTCGAAATATAAATTCTCCTCAATAAAAGAATCATAAGTCGAAATACCAAATGGAAGAAAAATAAGAAGCAAAGGTTTTAAAATTATAAACAAGTCTAAATATTGCATGTACTTATTTGGTAAATCTTTACATTTATCAAACTCAAAAAGTGTTAAGCAAGCAATTACATAATCTCTAAAGAACTCGAAAAGAATTTTCAAGAACAAAATATGTGTTTAACTCGTATCATGTAAGTATTTTTTTGATCAGATGTATGTTTTCATGAACATATCGTTTTTACTCATCTTCTTTTACGATATGATAGTCTTATGCATGAAGATATTAATGGACTTCATACAATACCAAAAATACATTTCCGCACAACATATCTTGGAATATAACAATCATTTAGTCATAGATAGAGTCAATAGCATGTTATTCATGCAATGATCAACGTAATAAAAATCTCCTCAATCCAGATAGGAACAATTGAGATAATACAATTTACAAATAATTATCAAAAAAGACTACATTGATATAGTTGTTTATAAGGAACTATTACCCAATGAAAAATATTCATGAGAAAATCAAGATTGTTTTTGATTGTTGATGTCAGAATTCTACTTTTTTTGGCAGATCACTTATTTTTCGCAGAAAATCCGATTAAAATCACTAAATCAGATGAAAAAAATAATCTACTTAACGGATTATTCTTGACTATGTCACGTCTAACCAGATTTTCATTGACAATAGATTTTAATCTTTTTCATCAATTAAAATTTCAATCGATGAAAATCAAATTCATGGATTTTTCATTGATTAGTTACGATTGCCTCGATTGCAATGCGATTTTCATCAGTAATTAATTTTAATCTTTTTAATCGATTGAAATCTGAATCTATGAAAATTGAATTGATAGATTTTTTATTCATTAATTACGATTATCTCGATTACAAAACGATTATTATCGACGATTGATTTTAATTTGTTCAATCAATGCAAATCTTAATCAGAAAAAATCTGATTTAGGAATTTTCATTGAACAATCAAGCAATGTTATGGTAGTAATTTGATTTCAATCGTTAATGGATTTTAATCTATTCAATCGCTTTAAATCTCAATAAAGAAAAAACTAATTCTGGAATTTGCATTCGATTATTAACGATTCTAAGGGTGGTAATTTGATTTTAGTCGTTAATCGACTCTAATCTGTTCAATCGACTTACAACATGTTGGAGAATATCAGTAAGATCTATACAGCACCAAATGATCTGAACTATAATGCGAGATATTTTGGACAAAATTTTAATTGCTATTAAGACTACAGTAGTTAAAAATGTTATGTAAAATCTATTAGGATAGAAGTTCTAGAGTAAACACGATATGCATGATCATAAAAAGTATTAGTGCCCTTTTCAAAGTATAATTTAGAGTAAAAAATCCGGCTAAAATTACTCTTTATCAATAACGCGTTCATCCGAAACATGAATCATTCTTTATCGATTCCAAAAAGTACTAATCAAGTGAAACTGATTATCTTCGTAAATAGAAGGCACACACAAGATGAATAAACCTGTAATGATACGAATTATAAAAAGAATTTTATATAAATAGAAGTATTACATAGAAAAAGGTAAAAATATGCATGCGGTTGATTAAAATTGATTAAAACTTCAAAATACTATGGGTCTAATCGGAATTGAAAATCCGATTTTTGTGAAACAAAATCAAGATTATAATCAGTATCAATCAATTATTAAAGCCTTCTAATCAATTGGTATCGATTATAATTTTGATTTTAATCAAATAAAATCTTGATTTTATTTCACAAAAATCGGATTTTCAGTTCCGATTAGACCCATAGGATTTTGAAATTTTAATCCTTGAAAATGTTCACTGGGTACTCTTTTAATTGGTATGACAGATATTTGCATATTATTTATTTTCTGTCAATTGAAAAAAGAAGAGAATCATTGTTGTACTATTTTGAAAGTCTTACAATCTCAAGTATAAAATAATTATTATGAGCTAACGATGCTATAGTAAAGAAATTATTGCTAAATTATTTTTTAAACTGGAAACATTCCTAAGCAACAATCAAGTTTTTATTTATACATGCATCTAATATTACTTCGCATGTTCTAAAAACTTCAGCTCCGATCGATAAGACAATCAGAAGATATTGCATCCTCAAAGAAACACAATTTCTGACTTCGTCTATACTATACCTGTCCTTTTTTACAATCGTAGTATCTCTTGATGGGCTCATCCATTCGAGCTGAAACTTTTAGGACATACTAAGTACCGTTAAGTCTATGTATAGGTAAAATTTCAAGTGAAAATATAGTGATACAGTATTTTCTCCTTATATGTTGCTACAAGTTGGAGTATCAGAAAAAACACCTCTAACTCAGCAGGAAAAAGACAGCAGCGGAATATTTCCTTGTAAGTGTACATATCCATTATTTAAAAAACTGTCTTGACAATAATCTTTTTACTAAAGGAGTTTCAGCACCTAATGGTTTTTATACTCAAAATAGGGACAGATACATTTAACTGGACAAACTAGCATAGATTTCATCGAATTCTCTGCAACACAGCTAGAAAACTTTCCGTGTCAGTTACACAGAAATTTTTAAAATGTTGATGTAAATTCAATGACTTGAAAGGCTAGAGTATAAAAATCTAGCACATTCACACAAGAAATAAACTGGAATGTGAATATAGAACTATCCGGGCGTATAAACGCAACGAATCATGTATACTAGGAAACTTCGTTCTGGAGAAACTATCCAGTAATATAAATGTTTTCTTTGTTCTTGTTGCACAAACTACGTCATATAAAAATTGTGTAATTGTTTGAGTTAGTGCTGCACGTATCGTGTAATTATGCATGTCATCACTTCGTCTACATTAAAAATAGATTTCCTGATCAAATTTATTTTACATCAATTCAAGATATATTGACTTATCTGCTTGTTGTCGAACAGTTGTCAGGATGCATGTTCAAATAAGGAAATATTTATGAGACAGTCGTGACATTCAATAGAGGATAGTCTGGAGCGACGATCATCTTACCGAAAAAAAAACATGCATCAGTTTCAGTCTTTTAATGTGTATATAGAATTCGTACATGTGTAGTACTGGGTTACATACTGTTGCTGTTTCAATAACTTCTCTAATGCATAAATGTATAAACAAATAAATAAATATATCAGTGCATATTCTTCACAAAGGAATTTTCATTTCATCAAAACGCGTATTTATGCGAGAGTAGTATAGTTTCTGAATTATATTCATATAAATTTTTTTTTCATGATTATTCAAGCTGTATATGTGGCAATATCATGTATACTTTCATATCTTTTCTTCGATTTTGTGGTTAATATCTACTGAATTTAGGAAAGGAAATAAATGTTTCGAAAGCTAAAGTTTCAAAAAGAAAAATTAACTAGTCCTATTCATTTTAATATAACAATGTACAAGAATCAATATTCAAAGAACATATTTTCGAAAAATTTCCAATACTTTGCTCTCACAATATTTGATCTAGAATTTATAATTGAAAAAAAGATGTTGATGAAGAAAGAACATCTAAATAAATTCGAAAAATGAATTAAATTTCATATCGTAGTTTAAATACAGTTGTATTTTGTTTGTCTCAGAGACTATTCAAAAAAGAAGATCTATTTAAAAAACAATTATTGACGAAAAATATCACTAAGTATGAGACTTTTTATCAGTCTACTGTCAAGGCTATTATATTTACCAATAGTCTATAATTTTCTATTGTTGAATTTATTCACACCATATTTATTGTCAACAAGCAAACATGATAATAATAGTTTGTATCATCAGACGGCGTGTATGTTACATATAAAAAAGACACATAGACAGATAATACGTTATTTCTACAGGAGTAATATTGTTGATGCTTCTTGATGGCCCCATGCAAGATTAAAAATTTCAAAGTTATCGTCGGTGCATCACTTGATTTCATATGTTTAACTATGGCAATTATTCTGCTCACTATTGGTGGTATCGTTTATGTAGAAGAAAGTTCCAAAATGTTGAACTATGCTAATACTATGTGTCTAGTTGAAAACCTGTATTGGAAATCTTATAGATGTGTAGTAATCGTTTTTCCATTCTCTTGTAATGTGGTAGCATGGTCGGTGATTGATGGTGAGTCTATACAAACATTTGCAACAATACAAGGAACGAAGCGATACAGTTATCAATCACATACTTTCAGCCAAGCAAATATATATAAGGCAAGTGAATATAAGACAAAAAAATACTGATTTTAAAGAAAAACAATTAAATTTAAAATTTCTAGAAAGAAATTTATGATTTCGAAGAATCAAATAAAAAGTTTTGTATGTAATAATACTAAACTAATTTGGAAAAGAAAAACAAAAAAAAATCTTTTTTCTTTCGAGAAACGTGCTTATACAATGTTGTGTAAAAATCCTTCGATTATTTCATATGAGCCATTGTTATATAATTAAAATTAGAATTATTCGATATTCATTTTGTGAATGTAGATAGACAATATAATAGTTACAATATGAACTTAAGTTTTTCTAGAGGGAAAGCAATATTACAATCTGAATTGATATTTTCATTTTTTTTTCGACTAATTTAATATTAAACGTTTTTATTGTAAAAATATGATGAAATAAATCTAAGATGATTGTATAATATACAACAATAGATTTTCTCTTTTTTTCTAATATTTAAGGTTGGTTCATATCATTCCTGTTGGTATGATAGTAGAAATCCAGCAATAGCTCAATGGAATAAGCCAAGTACTCAAGTTGCTATTATTTTACTTAGTTGTGGTGGATTATTAACATTACTAGCTATTGCACTTTCGATTCTTACGTATCTGTTTGTCAAGGAACAAAAGCATGACGGTGCACAAAATTATTTTACTCATACTCATATTTGATTTTTAAAATAACTCTAAAATGTGTGAATGTTTATTGTGTGATTTCTTTTCTGAAAATTCTAATTCATTCGAAATAAGAAGTAGAAGAAAACTTGTATATTTTGAATTTTTTCTTTATCATCAAATACGAATTCATATAACTGGTATTTATAATTTTGCCTATGGTAAACATTAACAAAATATCAGTCAAGACCACTTCTCTAGTCCATTCAATGCTAGTGCAAAATAATTATCAACAAATAGAACCAGCTAATGGAAAAAAGTTTAAGATATGATTTGTAAAAAATTCTATCATACTAAAACTGAAATAATGTTTCCAATCAGAATTTATCATTGAGGACTTTTCTACTGTCAGAAGATTGACTATACTTTAAACAAATGAATGATCTAACTATTAACCTAACAATTTTAAAATAAGCAAATTTCCATGACGTGTCAAAAACGAACTATTCGAATTTCAAGATATTTGAAATTCAGGTATAGAAATAAGAAAATATAAGGACTATTGATATCTAGAATCTTTCTGAGAGACATCAGATACATTAAACCTACACTGATTTTTATGTTGTCTGAAATTTCAGTGATATTGGACTGGAAAACGACAGCATACATGGCATATCTGAATCGAACCATACCTATGGCATCTTAAAAATAAAGGTGTTGATGCATTACTTAGCACTCTATAGAATTGTTTGCATAATACAGCATTTATAAATATGATGAGATAGAAAAGAATAACAATCAAGTAAACTTTTACAAGCAAACAAAAAACATTCCCTCTAAGATTTCGCCATAAAAATTATATTAAAATTGGTAAAGTATCGACTTGCAGAAATGAATTCAGTGGGCATCGTAGTGTATCATTTACATTTGGTTCAATGCAACGTCGACTCCGAAAAGTCTGTGACAAGTTCCAATGAGATGTTTGCTTTGCAGCAATTATTCAAACTTCTAAAAGATAATAGAAATAGTTACTTTAATAAGCTCCATATGTATCCAAATCTCGAACTCGATAATGAATATGACGACATAACGAATGATGATTTTGATAATAATCAATATCTGCCTATGAACAGGAGCATTTCGATGGAGGAGATGAAAAATATAATTGAATAGATCGATGAAAATCTAAATTATGGTGTTTCAAACATTCTGCATAAATTTCGAAAACGTTCAACACAAGAAATGTATTCTCCAAGGTCTAGCGAATAACTATCATCGAGACGACACAACAAGTTTATCACTCGAACTATATCAAAAGAATAAGTTTGCAGTTTGAATAGAATTTAAATCCATTCAAGAAATAAATACATTTATTTTAATACGATATAATAAGATTTACATATCAAAAGTTCGAAATTGGATAGAGCGCAAAAGATTTTTAATGTCAACCATAATACATTTCTCTAAGAACAGTTTATTTTACTCTTGAAAGAACAGCAGACGTGAATGTTAAGAGAACAACAATAATACAACGTACTATTTATTTTTCAAAAGAAATGAGTTGAGCAAAAATCTGTAAAAAAAAACATAACCGTTCTATCACAAGCTATTTCATTTTGATACTTTTCTTTGAATTATAAAAATCAAGAGTGTATATACTACGATATCCGATTGATCAGCGATTCTGCATTAGTGTATATTAGATTAATATTTATTAGGATTAATGTCATTCATCAAAATCTTTTCCTTCAACATCATATATTTAGTTTCTGACTTGACAAAGTCCAAGTTTTTCTATGTTTCTATCAAACAAAAATTGTTACGATGAAATCCTAAATAGACTGTATGAGTCAATTTTATTGACGAATTATCTTTTGAAGCTGAATATAGAGTGAGTAAAATAAGACAAAGCTGAACAAAAGCATAATATTAAGATTTTCGAATGATTGTTTACATTTAAAGCTTCAAAGTTCATCAGCATCAAATTTAGCCAATGGAGCATCATTTTCCTCCTTGATACATGTCATTTTTGTCTTTTCATCATCGTTCTCCGGTGTTTTTCGATTATTAATTCCAGCAGTTTTTCGAAATGTTGACCACATAAATTCCATCATTTCATTTCGATAGTGTGATGCAATTAATTCTCGTTTAACACGTGCAAACGCATCATTCAAACTAGAAAGATAAGAAGAAGAAAAAACAAAGGAGAGATCATATGATACTTACATCGCTAAGAAGATGCATAATAAAGCAATAAATACAAGATTAATATATGAAAGATAATAAAGTGTACCTATGAAAATGAAATCAAGATTTTCTTTTTTCTAATTCTTTCCTTGAGTAAAATATGAATTTACCATAGACTCGACTAACAGCAATCATGTCTGGAGCATTGATTTCACCCAAAAGCATTCGAAAACAAGTTGTTAATGACGTGAAAAAGCTGTTATAATTACGAAGTGAACGACCAAATATAGCAAAACCGACTTGTGCATAAGCTAGGATAAATATAAGAAAAACAAATGCAAATGAACTTAAATCTTTTCGAGCATAATGAAATGATTTTGATAACATTCCAATACGTCTATTGAATCGAAGTAATTTTAAAAATTTAAGCATTGTAAAGAATGTAATTAATGCAACGATATATGAATAAACTTCATCAAAACTTCCAATTGCATTAAAATTAACAAATTCACCTATTCAAATTAAAATATAAAAAAAATTTATAATGTTTTCTTCTTTTTCTTTTTTGTTTTGTTTATTGACTTTACCCATTTCTGTTTTTTTCAATGATCGAATAGCTAATCGTGTTAATGCCTTTTTTGTTCCATACATCAAAATTGTTGTTACACTAAATACTGTTGTTATAAATGAAATTATATTCCAAAATTTTCTAAAATATTCTCTTTTTTGTTTAATAATTAATGAAACTTCATGGAAAACAGAATAAATGGTAAAAATAACAAAACAAAGTTCAAATATATAGACAATTATACCATAACTACCAACATGATCATATAAACGAAAGATTTTAATACGATAATCTTGTATAACTGAACCCATTGATGTCATTTCAAATGAAAGTGTAACTGCAACGAATAAATTAACATTTGCATTATAAAGTGAAAAATCAATAATAACTGCACGAGTTAATTGATCAAGCCAATTTTGTGAACGAAGTTCATTAAGTAATGATACAGCTTGTTGATATGTACGACCTAATGAAACAACATAACCACCACCTTTATATGTTTTGTATATTGCTGAAAGTGGATCACTCTTTGTACGAAGACTACTCTAAAAACAAACAAAAATTACTTGTTTTTATTATTATTATTTATGTGAAAAATTGATGAATAAAAACTTTTAAGCAGGTATACAGAAATTCTCATGATTTACAATGTAGAAAAAGATATTTTAAACTTATTTCGAAGTGATTATTTAATTGAAGTAAATTTTTATAATTTTATGCCATTAGATGGTTACTTTCATTTAAGGTTTATGTTTATGTTGATAGTGTAGAAGATCAGAATAGATAATTTATGTTGAAGTCTATCATAACATTTAACTCCTAAATTTTTTTGTTTTTTTTTCTCTTGGTTCTGTCGGTAACAGGGAGAATTATATTGCAAAGAGAAAACTATTTATTGAATATTTTTTTACAGTCAATATAACATATATATATATTGTGTAGATCATTATGAATTATATTTCGATGTCAAGTCGAAATTTAAAAAGTTTATTTTTATACTATGTTTTTTGAAAAACCATAAATGGGCACTTGTAAACATTCCTATTGTCAGCACATGATATTCTTTTCTTCACATGAATTTTACAAAAAAAAAGTCAAATTTAAACTAACTTGATAACACCATGGTGTTTTACATCGTTGTGTTTGATTATTTGTTTTCATTGTAGCTTTATTCAAAACTTTTTCCCATCTTGGTGTATAATCTTTTGTATCATCATCAAACCAGTTATAATCATCTCGACAATGTGATATCATATGTTTAAAACGACGATGAATTCGACAACTATTATCTTTAACACGCAATTGACGAATTCTTGGTGCACCAACACGCATTGATGATCGACTTGCAGTTGTTAATTTTTCTCTCCAAGTTAAATTTTTATTATTATACCATGCTTGTGCATAAAGTCCTTTTAATAAAACATTATCACAATAATCCCACCATGTACCAATTGAACTGACATCATGAAAATCTGATGTAATAAATAAATTTTTTGTATCTCGATATAAACCATATGAATTTGTATCTCGTGATTGATATGATAGAAATAATAAGACAATAGTAAAAAATATAAACATAATTATTTCACGAATGATTTCTCCCATTTTTACTTCACGTAAACGTTGTTCTCGTGCACGCGCCATTTCATTTGAATCAATTGCACGTAAATTACATATACGTACACGACGTTGAAGTGCAATTTCTAAATATAACAACAAAAATTTAAAAAAAAAAAAAGAAACAAACTCTAATTATATATTAATTTAATTATTTCAAAATTTTACTTTTAAAATTTGTATCATCATAAATCTCTTGATTATCATCCGTATAAGATATACTATTATTTGCAAGTAATGCTCCAGTAAATGGATCATTAAAATCAAGTGTTTCATCATCATATGGTCGACGAATAAGAAAACTTATAATAGCCGTAATAAGAAATACTTTTAATGGATCAATTACAAATATTGATTGACCAAATGAAAGCATCATTGTTATTAACCATTCATTAGCTCGTTGTGCACCCCATTCCAATGAATAAAGAATAATAAAAAATGATGATGTTAAAATACTTAACGTTATCACTAGAAAACGACAAATTATTTCAAAATTAAAAGAAAAAAAAAAAAGAAGTTTTTTGAATTTATTTTATTTACATGCCCAAGCGATATAAATAGTCCAATGTGGAAGTGTTCTTGTTTTATCTTCAATTGATGGTATTGCTCCAATACGTTCAGCATCTTCTTCTTCATTAAATTTTGAATGTTTGAAATGATGTTTTTTTCTTGAGAAAAATCTAAATACATTCTTATTTGTTTTATTTTTTTTCGATTTAATTTATTTATACAATAACAAACCTTGTCGTTTTTTCATATTGTTCATCTTGTTCTAATGATTTAATTTGAGGTTTCTTTTTTTGTAAATTATGTGTTACTAAGATTTTTTGACTATATTTTGCTTTACGAAATAATGTAATAATAATTAAATTTACAGGTAAAACAACTAATGTACCAAAAAAACTAATAACAATTTGTGTTAATGTAAATTCAATAGGACCAATTTTCATTAAAACACCAGCTTTATTTACCGTTGTTTGTGTATCTTGTCGATAGAACATTGCATTTGATATCATAGTACAAAAAAGTAATGACATACAACATGATATACGTTGTAGACGTGTAAAATTACTTCGAACAGGACGTGAAAATACTGAAAACCATAAATGACCATCGCTAAGTTTCTTTTTAATGGATTCAGTAAATAAATGTGCAAAACTTCTTAATTCTTTCATTGATGCTAATGGTATAATACGATCAACTAATCCATCACCTTTTTCAACTGCAAGCCAATTATTACAAATGAAATAACTCCTTTTAAGAAAAAACAATGTAGAAAATTGAAAAAAAAAATTTTTGTATGTATTACTTTTCTCCTGTTTGTAAATCCATAACATTGATCATATTTAAAAACCAAGAAGCTTTATTTCTAAGACCAGAATTATCATGCCATACACGAAGATAAAGTAAAGGACCAAGTGGTGCTTCAACACTCATTACAAAATTTCGAACACTTCCAGCTGGAAATTCCTTTAAAAAGTAAATATTTGGAAAAAATGATTTAATTTATATAAATGATTTTTTGTTTTTAAAAACATCTATATGTTACTAAGTATTTTATATAACCTTAACCAGATAATACCAATGAGAACTATACATAGTTTTCTGTTTTTTATTTGTTGTTCTATCGATGCAATTTTAGTTGACTATACGTTCAATATATTGTGAAATAAAACCTACATATTTCCCAGAACGTTAGAGAAATGACGTGTTCAATCTTGAAAAATTTTTCTCTGAACACAAATGGAACCTTTTTAGATAATGATCGTATAATAACATTTTGTTTAAATATTGAATTCTATGTTTTGTATGTGGGAATATGGTCTTTGTTTAACTACTGTAGTATATTACATAATTCTACTGAATAATCTTTATTACGTTATGCTAGAAAACGTTGTTACCTAATGAGATTTGTTATATTTCTGTTTGTTTTTTCCTCGTGTTTTAGTCAATAACTAATGGTCATGTGTAATAATTGCAAAAAGATACACGATATACGATCAACAGAAGTATTATAGAAGATTCGAATTTAGAAAATAAAATTTATTATCCACATTGTGAATCACATAGTTTCATGTAATTTATCATCACTTTAAAAAGTTAAGTAATCTAATCAAAAGTTTATTAAATAAAATTGATTCGAAAACAATTTCTTAACCTTGATCAATATTATTTTCTGATCTTAAAAAGATAATAATTATTAAATAAAAACTTACTATTATTTTTCCGTCAGTTAATTGTCGCATACCACTATCAGATGATTCACCGGATATAATAAAATGTATATTTGATGTTGTACCTGATTCTTTACCAACACCAGTATGAATGGTTATTAAATAATAATAATTATCAATAGGAAGGTTATCGATTAAAGGTCTTGCTGTCCACTAAAAACAAATGTGAAATTTTGATTTTTTTTTTTTTATTAATTTAAATACTGTTCTTTTGGAGAAATATATTAGAATTTATTTAAAATATAAAAATCTGATTAGCGAAGTAAATTTTAAGAATAATGAAATATAATTTTAATGTGTATCTGATATTAAAGTTTGAATAACTTATAACCAATACATTACAATATTAAGCTTGAAATTATAATTTCTTGAAACAAGAATCAGTATATAACATTATTTGCGCAGGCAGAAAGAAGAAGAATGACGATACGACAACGTAGTAAGATCACACTATATGAGACCTGACATCAATAGAACCGATTTGGGTACATCAAGAAAAAATATATATGAAAAAATTTAGACCTCAAATATAAAGACTAAGATACAATATAAACAAATACAAAAAAATGAAAAATAAGCAAACAAGTTGTGTTTACTTTTTCCTTTGATGTTCAAAGATTTGTGTAATGTTTTATACAGAGATAATTAACTTCAGAATACAACATACACTACTTCCTTGATTCTGATATTACATAAATATTTTGCAATAGGAGTTTACATTGAAGTTAATAGATCTATGATCTATTTTTTATTCTAACTCGGCATAATGTTCTAAGAAATATACAACTGAGTTACGAACGAATCTGAATTCATTATTGATTTTATAAGCTTTTTTTTTCTCTTTGCTATTAGTTTTTCACTAAAGAACGATGAATGCTTGGTTACGACCTATATTAGTTAGATTCCTATTTAGTAGAATTCACTCTATTAAATAAAGAGAATACTTTTGAGATAAAGAGATTTTATTGAAAATATTTTTTTTTTTGTTTAAATTTTCCTTTTAATTAAGATTTATATTAATTGTTTGAATAACTTACCTTAATTAAATCACGTTTATCTTTTCTTCTTGCCCAAATACCAGCAAGAACATATAAACTAAATATTACAATAACAGTACTAAAAACCGCAGCATTTTCATGTAATTTTTTAAATTTTGTGAAAACAGTTGTAAAATCAATTTTATTTGGTGGAACAAAAAAATCACTTCCAAATGTTGTTAAATGTGTACAAAGACATTCAGTTGATTTTAATGTTGTCAATGGTCCAACCTGTTTATATATATTTAAATTAAAAATAATCTATTTTTATTTAAAAATACAATTTACTTCACATCCATCGGAACTCCATAAAACTCGTTTTTCATCCCAATATTGGCATTTTGATACATACATATTTATTGTATAACTTGAATTATATTCTGTTAAGTTCATTGTCGTATTTGGATCTGAAGTTTTAATCAGATCATTAATCAGTTGTCTTAAAAAAAAAAAAAAAAAACTTACGAATTAATTTAATACCAAAAATATAAGTTCCATTTCCAAGATGAACATTTGGTGGCATAAATATAGTATGTCTTAATTCATATTCATCATCCAAATTAATATCTGATGTTGATGCTAAAGTAGTACTGTTAGGTACAATAAAAAGAAGATCAAATTTTGATTCAGTTGGTGATTCTAATGCAGTTTCATTTGTACCAAATGAAACATAAACAGCATAAATATCCATTGGTGATAAATTAGGAGATATATAAACTGATAATGTCATGTGTTTTTCAGGTAAATTAACTTTATGATATTGAAATGATCTTCCATGTAATTCATATTGTTGATATTTTGGTTGTTTATCAATTGGTCGAGATAAACGAATTGATATTGGTTTAGTTGTATTTTGTACAGACATTTCTGATCCATCTGGTCGTGATAAGATGATAGTAACAACACTACCTTCTACATTTGAATGTCCATGTTTACTTGCAAATGGATTATTTTTAGATTCAAGTATTTTTGTAAAAACTTCAGATGAATCTGAACCAAAATTTAAATCAGATAAACCAGGTAAACGAATATTCGTATCACCAGCTGATAAACTTGATTTACCTTTTTAATTGAAAAATCAAAAAATCAAAATCTTTTTCTTATGAATTATGAGCAAATTCTATTTATACCATCTGGATTTGCTTTTGTAAAGGTCATTGTCATAGTTTTACTTTCAATAGTTTTTGTTTCATTTGTTGATGAACGATTTGCTAAAACATCACCAACAGTAAATAAACCACCTGAACTTCGTTTAGCTATGTGTGAAGCCTAAGAATAATAGAAATAAATATTTAACAAAATAAGACGAAAAGAGAAAACCAAACTCGTTCTCGTCCTTCAACAATTGTTTTCTTTTCTTCTTCTAATTTATGTCGAAATTCTTCCCATCGTTCTTCAGGTAATTCTTCACATTCATCACATGTATCATAAAATTGTGTTGGAGCATAAAGAATTTTTGTATCTGTTTCATCATTCTCTGTTGCTTTTATATCCGACTCAAGATTCTATTTGTATTATTTAAAAAATAAAGTATTTAATTAGAATATTTTTTGTTTACTAACTTCAATGATAATATCTGGATCATTTTCTTTATCTTTTGAAACAGTTTTTGAAGCAGCTTGAAGAACGTTACTACCAACACCCATCAACGCTAAAATCAATGAATTTTTTCAAATAAAAATAAAGGAAAAAAAAAAAGAAGAAGAAGATATGAACATGTAGCAAGATTAGTAACAGTATCGTCGTCGGCTGATTCCATATCTTTTACTTTACCACCAACTTTTTCAATAATATCTGCTCCTTTTTCCTAGAAAAATATTATATTAATAATCAATGAAGATATTAGAAAATATTCGAACTTGATTATTTAATGGCATTTGATCACTATTAGCTGTAACTGTTGCACTAGCTTTAAGTGCCTTATCAACAGTGCTTGGTTCATTTGATACATCTAAGACTGTATTCATTGATGATAACATTTTTGAGCGCATCTAAAATTTAATTTTTTCATGATAATTAAACTTCAGATATACACATAATTATATTGGATGTTTCAGGAAAAATTTGCCTTTCAGTATTTTAATGATATTTCTTTTATTATTCGTTTATTCAGACTTAATTTTTCTAAATAAATGCATCTTTTATTAATGTAAATAATCTTCATCACTTCCTGGATCACTTCAAGATATACAATTTTGTAATACAACTTTTTGTCTGTTATCTATATTCGTTTGAAGTATGTCTTAGAAGAAGATGACTGTTATTTATATTACTAAAAAAAAACAAAACTATTTTTATAGAGAATAAAAGAAGTGAATCTATTGAGAAAAAAAAAATTAAATGTAGATAAATGAATATTTAAAAAAAACAAGGTATCATTAAAATATTGAAAGTTACATTATTCCTAAGACACCCGATATATCAATAAACTTACTGTTGCCATTCGTTCATTCATTGCTTTCGTTTCGTCTTCATTCGTTTCTTGCGAAGTCTATTAAGAATAGAAAATATTAAATAAAAAATATATACAACAATTAAACATACATTATTATCACTCATTTGATTAAGTTTATCAGCTAAACCAGTAATTAATTCAACTGCTTGAGCTGGTTGAGCCAAAACTAAATCATCTAAATTATCCATAATATCTTCTAATACATTTAAATCAGTTGTATTAAAATTAAGATTTAATTGTTTATCAACATCTAAACGTGTTATTAATTGTCTACCATCAGTTAAATGTCGAATAATAAGTAGAAAGTGTAATGTACCATTATGTAATATTAAATTACGTTCACTAATATTTAATGTTTTTCTATCTGAATTAAATTCAAATAATTGTTGATCTTTTTCATGTTTTTTATTTGATGAAAAACATTGATTTTCATAAAATTGTAAATTTAATTCTGATCTATGTAATATTAAATTTAAATTATTCCATTGTATAGACCAATCATTTATATTTTGTGGATTTGTTTCTGTTGGTCTTGTTGAACCTAATTGAATTATATTTGATGGAAATATTAATGATTCAATATATTCTGCATAACAAATAAGTGTAAAATTAAGTTTACGTCGATCTAATTCATTATTATCTGGATCAATTGTTGTTAAATAAAAATTTAAATAAAGTTCTTCATTAACATTTTCAATTGTTTTATTTCCACCAAATATTGTTATTAAATCTGAACGAATTATTTCAATCGGTTGACTAAATTGTCGAAAATCAGCCATATAGGAATTTCTACTAATTGTAAATACAGATATATAATAACCATATGAAAGAGATTTTGGTTCAATTGTCAATATTGATTTTATTCCAAATTCTGAACAATAATTTTCAATAAATTTTTCTTGAAATGTTTGATTTATACTATTTGAATATTGTTGTATACGTGGATATTTCCATTGTGATGGTTCAATTAAAAGAAGATAAAATGAATAAATAAAATCATGATTAGAACATTTTGTTAATATTATTGCTTCAAGATTATGTTGAAGACTATATGGTAAATATAGAATAGGTGATGGTGAATTTGTATTATTTAAAGAATTTGATGATGTTAAATGAAATTGTTGTTCTTGAAAACATGTATCTTCTGATCGAATTATACCTTCAACTATTGTTACTGTTGAACATTTTAATCCAATTTTGAGAAGTTTTGATGATGGTTGAATAAATGTTACATCGATTTTGTATGTACCAGCTTTTGTGAATCTAAATTATGAATAGATTCAACTTTAGTTTAGTTTAAATGTCGAAGAAAAAAAAGAATTTACGAATGAAAAAATTTTCGAAGTGAAATATTTTGTTTGTCAAAAAAAAAAAAATACCGAAAAACTCATTATATCATCAATGAAACCTATGCGAATTTCAGACCAGTTGGTATAATCCGATCTGACCTACTAAGATCGGTAGCGCTCGTGAAAAATTCAGATCGATTTCATCTCTATCCTATATAGCAGTTTAAAAAAGAAACCTTTCAGAGAGAAAGACAAGAAGCAGAAGAAAAATTCCTCCATTTCTCTCGCAAATCGTATAGTTTGCGAATAGATAGCAAAAGCTTTTTTTTCTTTTCCTCGTTCAACTTGTCAATAAGGTCCCCCCGCACATATTCATTTCAAGATAAAATATTTATAAAACTCTTTAATAGTATATTTGTTTGCCTCAATAATTGTCAACTTGGGAATTAGTTGAGGCCAGAACATCTTCGACTTTAATGCAACACTGTAGTAGAATAACTAATATAAGGTCATATTTTTGTTCTGATCAGCGTAAGACTTTGTTTTAGAATATTATTATGTGAACTCTATGATTCGGAGATGGAACTGATCTAATTTTTGATAGTCGATACTAGTAAAGACTGATCTATTGATAGACTGGTTGCGGTCGTCAGTATCGATTTGATCTCTGCTATGATTCTAGTTGAATAACGAATCGAGTTTGTACTTTGATAACAATAAAAACAAAGTCAAACAAATAGAAGAAAATTTCATAAACAACAAAATTCTTTTCATGAATAAGGTGATGTCTAAACGTTTGATTACATCTATTATAAAATATGATATACGCGATTGGTTTCTTTTCTCTTTCATTTCATATGACAATAGAAATTTCTTTGTTTTTCAAGATCTATTACGATGACAAGCAAAACTTAATAATTTTCTTTGCCAAAAAAATTAAATTGTTCGAGATTCTTTGAGTAGATTATGTTGGTTTTTGTTTTTTTATTGTTAATTAAACTTCTCTTACTTATATCCAACTTGTAAACGTTGTTTTGCAATTTTTTTCCATTGTATATGATGTATTCCATCATTTTTATTTGTTATACGATTAAGTGAATTTAATATAATTTGTGCATAATGAATAGTAATTTTTTTTTCATCTCCATAATTAATTTGTATATTAAAACCAATACCATTCATCCATTGTATATCAATCCAGATAAAATCTTGATTAATAAGACCTATTTGATTTATAATATAAACTTGTGGTTTAGTTGTTATTTCTGTTCCAATTGTAAATGTAACTTGTGATTCACGTATAGTTGGATATTCTCCTCCACGAACATGTAATATTTGTTTTCCATATGTTGTTATATTCATATATAATTGATGAGTAAAATTATTTGATTTTAATAAATGTACAGGTTCAATTTGACTTTGAGTTTTTTCATTAAGATTATTAATTATAGTTAATGTAAAATCTCCTTCAAATGGTATTTTTTCTAATGCACGTATTTTAATTAATGTTGATGGATTTATATCTGAACTATCTTCAATTTTAATTTCAAATGGTGATAATGCTGGTTCAACATTTATATGTATTGATTGATTAACTAATTTCATACGATTCATTGTACTTACTGATGGATAATATTGACCAGGTATTGAATAAGTACAATTACCAATAAAAATTGATGTTGAATCAATTACTTGTTCAATATATATAATTTCGAATGATGTTTGATCTATTCCACAATCAAGAATAACTGTTAAATCTAATGTTGGTTCTAATGTTATAGAAATTTCTACAGATTGATCAGCTTTAACTGTTGTTTTTGATGATACAACATCCAATAAAAGAACATCTGGTTGAACATTGATAATATAAGGTTGTAATGGTGTTGAATCACATTCGAGTTGATATAGATGATTACCAACTGATAAAAGCTAAACAAACGTGAAGTTTCTTTTCACAATGATGCTTAAATTTTTAGAAAAATTATGAGACGAAATATCTCAGCTACAGATTATCCAGATAACTTAAAGATTTTTTACTGTTGATTCAATTAATGTTGTGAAAAATCTGAATAAAATTTAATTGAAATTTCTTTTATTCATTCGTTCAAGGAAATGTTCTAGTTCATATCAAACTAATATTGCGATACGAATTGGTTTTTCAGAGTGTTTAAACAATGATGTTTTTTTTCTTCTTAATCAATGATTTCATTGATGAAAAATGACTTTCAACATTTTATAAAATTCAAAATGTAAAGAAACTTTTATTTGAAAATGAGAAATTAAAGACAACTTTTTTTTTCATACAAAAAAGTTGTTTATCAGTATTTCGGAAAGCTTTTCAAGATTGAGGAAGCAACTCTCTCACCTTTGGAATATCTCTGCCAGTATCACTTTTATTAACTGTTCATTAGCTCTAACAAATAGATTCTGTCATTAAGATGAGACTTTGACTCAATTCGAAATTAATTCTGTATTATATCAAACATAAAAATAAATGTTACGAAAAAAAACTTTCTATTGAATAATAAATTAATCATATTATAATTCTCATTTAAAATTCATTATATATTTTTTTAAAAACAATTTTCATATTTAATGTTAAATAATAAAATAATAATTTGTATTTTATTTTTTTTTTTTACCTCATTTGGTATAACTTCAAGTGTTGTTTTTCTCCAAATTAATTTCAATTTTTCATTTGTAATTGTATTTCTTAAATTTAAACAATTTACATGTCGAAATGAATAATCTTCACGTGATAATAAATTAAATCTTGTTGATGTTGATGTTTGAATTAAATTTTTATATATAATCATTTTTTTATTCATTTTTTCTCGTCGAATAGTTCGTGTTATTTGTGTTGTATTATCACTAAGTTGATTGAAACATTGAACTGATACATTATATTGTCCATAACGTGTATAATTTCTTGAAAAAAAACCTGTATAATATTGATGATGCTTTGTAGCATTTGCTTGTCGATGTCCATCACCAAAATCAATTGTACAATTTATTGGAATACTTCCTAAAAAATAATCAAAACAAAATTTTATCAAAAAAAGAAACAATATTAATGAATTTTATTACCATAAGTTTGTACAGTAAAGTTTTGATATGTTCGACCATTATAATTATTAGGTGAAAGATGAATAAATTTCAATGGTAAATCTGTTTTAACATGAACAACTTCAACATTAATTGTATGATATTCAGCCATTTCATCATTCACCATTCGACGATAATCAGCACGAAATTGAACTTTTTTTATACCTGCATTTTTCCAAGATAAACTTAACTTAAAAGAAAAATTTATTAAATTAAATTAGATTTGAAAAGACAAAAGAAAAAACAAAGGATATTTACAGCACCAGGAATTATATGTATTTCATTTGAAGTCGATTCCATATTAGTAGATTCTTGATCTTCAATATCACCATAAACGGTTAATGCAACAAGATTTCGTTCATTTTTAACTGAAACAATCATTTCAACACCTTCATTTCGTTGAACTTGTGCTCGACCATAAGTTAAAAAACTTGAATCAGTTAAACGAACTTCAAGACCTGAAATAATGGATATAATTATTTTACATAATCATTTTATCTATTTGTGTTTTCTTTTAATATTCTCGATCAATAACATACCAACTTCAGTATGAATTAAATCAATAGTACTTGATACTACAAGTACATGCCATTCTTTATTGTCCGAACATAATTTATTTAATGAACAGCTACATTGTGTATCATAAGTAAATGATGTATTTAATTCAACTGAACTTTGTATACATCCACATTCGTTATTGGCTGAAGAATACAATGCAATCTATTACAAAATAATTAAATTAATATACTCTTTTTTTTTCAATATCATAAATATTTGAAACCTTCATTTTTCGATTATAACATTCATCACGACATAATTTCCATTTATCAAATGTTTCAGCAATTATATACTGATGCATACGATCATTATTTTTCAAACATCCCAATGAGATTACATCCAAAGAAACTAAAATAATAATTTATCAAAAAACAAACAAAGAAATTATTACTAAATTAAATAAAATTCAAACCATGAGCAATGTCTTCATCTGTTAAAATTTTTTCATAATATATTATATCATCAATCGTTGCTACACCTGAAGAATTTCCATAAATAATAGTTGATTTTGAATGTATTTGATCGTATTTAAATATAAACATTTCTTTATAATTTTCTATTTCTGTTTCTTTATATAAATATCCATCAAAAAATACCTTCATTTGATAATGTTTACCAATTGATGTCATATGTTGTTGAATAGTTGTTACAACTTCAATCCATTGATCTATTTCTAAATCAACTTCAATTTGCCAATAATATGCAAATTGATCATCGAGAAATTCTTTTAAACCAAATTCAAGATATGCAACATTATTCAATTGATATAAATAAATTAATATTCCATCACCATGTGTTTCATGTGCACCTGTACTAAATAATAAATATTTATGTTCACGATCACGTGTAGGAAATGGATTAAGACGTAATTTAAATCTTAATGACCATCCATGTGTTGAACATATTGATAATTGTCGAAAACATTTGAATTCATCATTCGATATATGATAATAATCATTCGAATCAAGTAATAACATTGAGCCATTCAAAAGACTTTTTCCATCTAATTTAAGTTAAGTATTACTTAGGACATTTCAAAAGTAGTGGTAGTGACACTTTAATATCGTATAGAAAACTTTCCTTCAATATACAGGAATAGTACAAACAATGCTTTATTTTTCTGTGGGTTTTTTTAATCATTCTTACAATAATATTATAATAGTAAAATTTCGGTTAGAGCTATTTTTTCTGCTTAGGTCATACCAAAAGTAGTAGCCCCGCATCTTAATTTCGTATAGACTGCTTGAAAAAACTTTCTTTTTTTATGAACAGATAGAGCGTCTTTTGTTCTATCTTTCTATGCTATTTGATCACTATTCAACTAATATCATAATAATAAAATTTCGATAGGATCTGTTTCTTTCGCACGTGTTCTGGTACCATGAACATGAATGCTCGTGGCTATTTTTGAATAACGTTTGATAGCAATAAGATAGAGAACTGCGGTTTTCAGCATTGGAAAAAGGAGATGAAGACACATCGAACCGCATATTACTGATTTTTCTAACCTGTTTTTTGTAAGGTTTTCAGTTGACCTTTTGAAGAACAAACTTATCCCTTGAGTTGTTTACAGTGAATATTCAATAATCAGGTTCACATTCAAACCACTAATCGAATATCTACAAACTGCGAAAGACTCAGATGTTTAGATTTAATTGTTTAGAGACAATACGTATTCTAGCTACGATTTTCTATCAACTTTTTTGCTTTTCTTTTTTTCATAAAAAAAAAACATTTTTTCAACGATTAGAAAATTGAATGAAAAAGACTTCAGAAATTGTATTAGAAAAATCAGTAATATACAGTTCGATGCGTCTTCATCTCTGCTTTCCAACGGTGAAAACCGCAGTTCTCTCTCTTGTTGCTATCAAACGTTATTCAAAAAGTACTTACGAGCATTCATGCTATCAGCATATATGCGAAAGAAACAAATCTTATCGAAATTTCATTATTATGATATTAGTTGAATAGTGATCAAATAGCATAGAAAGATAGAGCAAAAGACGCTCTATTTGTTCATATAAAAAGAAATTGTTTTCAAGCAGTCTATACGAAATTAAGATGTGGGGGCCATTACTTTTGGTATGACCAAAGTAATATGTGAGATGATTATACTAATGTCTACTGAAAAAAAAGGATGAGCGAATCTTTTGTTTTCATCGTTCGAAGAGGAGATGAAGATACATTGAATCGTATATTCAAGGTATTTTTGAATTGATTTTATTAAGGTTTTTCAATCGACATCTTCAAAACAACAAACATAATCCATGAAGTGTCTACAGCGAATTTACCATCGTCGGATGTGTATTGAAATGTGATTTTTCTAGCAATTTCTGCGAAAAATATACTAGGAAAACTTATAATATACGATTCGATGCATTTTCATTTACCATTTTAAACGGTAAAAACCGCTGCTATCTATCTTGCTTTTATCGAAAATTATTTTAAAAAAATTTTTGCTTATCTTTTTTTAAAAATAGACATTAGTATAACCGTCATATATCATAGAAAAAAAACAGCTCTTATCGAAACTTTATTATTATGATATTATTTGAAGAATGATTGACTATCATAGAAAAACAGAGCAATGCTTATACTATTCTTGCATATAAAAAGACAGTTTTCTAAAGTTTCCTGTATGATATTAAAGTGTCATTGTCACACACTTTTGAACTGTCCTATGTATATCTGTTTCATACAAATTATCTTACCTTGAGCTTGAGCAATAACAATATTGTTTATTATAAATATGAATAAAATTAGAAGAATTAAAATCTTCATACTAGTCGAAGAATAAGTTTTTACTGTTAGTCTCGACCAATTTTTGTTTATCCTTCACTCACCTTGAACACCTACTGAGTGTATAAGAAAAACTACTTGGTAATTTTTCTTTTATTTAAAACTCTTGAGAATCGGTATAAGCCATTTTAATCATATGATGATGAATTATGTAATAGTCAAGTCTATAGAGAAATATCATTTTTCAATCAAATAGTGTCCTTGTCATCGATATTTTATTCAAAGAAAAAAAAATATATATATTTTTCATATATTTGTACACAATTGAAAAATGATATTCATGTATTGGGAAATATTCTTCAAAAACAAAAAACAATTAATTTACTTTTTAATTTATAACAAACAATGGGGCAGCAAAAAAGTATGATCATAAGATTAATAATATTTTTGTATCATAAAAATAAAAAAATTGACATATTCAGATGGAATTCTCATTTGCGCAGTAAAAAAAAAATATGTTACTGTGTTATAGATATTAATCCAAAGGCTTGCTTAGAGTAAAAGATTATTCGAAATTGTTCCTATCATATTTATGTCGTTGTTATTATTCTGAATTCAATATTTTGATTAACATAATGAATGAAAATAAGATTATGAAAGAAAACCGAATTTTATATGTTCGAATATGCATAAATAGGCTTTTTCTTGGATATAATATGATAAGTCAGTCAAATAAAGAAACTGAAAAATAATTAACATTAAAAAATTTATTTATCTTATCATATATATTGCACTGAAGTTATTATCACTTTATCATTTTCATTGTCAGTACGTCTTTTTTTATGTGAAAAAAAATTACAGCGGATACCTCAAATATAATCGTGCGCCATCTATTTTTATTCTTGTTAAAAAACGTTTCTTAGGAAACAAATATCCTAACGACAAAAATAATTTATTTACTTGATATTTTTGTCTATAAGTATAAAATACAAACCAAAATAAATATTTTTTGAGGATTTAATATCATTTTTCATTTGAAAAGGTAAATCATTGTAAATACTCCAAGCATCTGCTTATTCTTTAGTTATTACTGTTATTATATTTAATACTAATATTTCTTTTTTCACGATGTAGCTTTTCGTTGAAATATATTTGTTTGAGTATTTAGGATCGATAATAGACTAAATCATACAGAGTAAAATCTTTTATAGTAGACACTTTTCACGGTTTTGCAACTTCTTTTTTGCTTGATTTGAATCTCTCCAAATTGGACACTACTTATGAGTTGAGACAGAATGGTTTTTCTTTGATAGTTAACAATGAGCACCTACGCATACTTCAACATGGACTGTTCCATTTTATCTTTTTAATAAGTACGATACCGATGAGCATTTGAAGAAACTAGTAGTTCAAATGGATGGGGAAGAACTCAGGCAGACAAACTTTTAAGAAAACGCGTTTAAACGCACAAAAAGGACGAAAAGTGGGTGTTTTAGGTTCACAGTCAGGAACCTCAAGTGTGAGCCAAAAATGTCCACTTTTTACTGATTTTAGGCCAATTTTTGTGCGTTTAAACGCGTTTTCTCAAAAGTTTGTCTGCTTGGGAAGCAGAAAAATATGTCTCTGGTGAAAAACATCCAAATTTTATGCGAAGTATTTGAAATCATGAGAAGGCTTCATGTTTTCGCGTTTATTTCATAGCGTCAATAGTATGCTCGTCATCTTCCATCTCAAATTGCAAATAGTTTACATTGATCTGAATTTGATAGTGACAAAACAGAATGCTATCAAAGATTAACAACTTAAACAATAATTTTTTTCTCTTTATTTTCGAAGATAAAAATATATGGAAAGAGAAGTAGCAATTTACTTCAGTTAGATATTACATTTGCCAATAAATTTTTTTCGAACATCTAGAATATATGTATGTTTTTTTGGGGGGGGAAAAGACTTAACCTCTCTATAATAGACAACGTCTTATAATGAATACATTCGAAAAGTTCGTACAGTGTTGATTATGGAGAAGTTTTACTGTATTGATTGTAACTTATTTTGATTAACAGATTTAATTAGTATGCTTGTTGTGAAAAAAAATAATCTCTCGATATAGTTCATCTTTCTTCATGTCTTCTGCATTGAGACAATAGTGATTCTCGAAAAGATAATGAATTTTAATATTAAATTTAAATTTAAATTTTCAATCTCTTTTCAAAATATGATAAGATGCTGTTAATCTGTCATTTCGTTATTTTCTGCAAATAACAATTCTTCTATCATAAGGATTAGAATATACGATTGAGTTTTTACACGTTCGATTAAAATTAAAAAAAATTGTAAAAAAATATAAGTAAATAGTAATAGCTTTGTTAGCTTGTATTTTTGTGCAGTAATGCACTTATTATACTTCTTCTACACAAGATGCTGTTGCAAACAATGAATGCTAATACCATAGTAATGCTTTGTGAAATGTTAGTCTTCAATATAAGATTCATAATATCTGTCTAATAGCAGATTCAAGTACGAACGGATGTGTAAGATGGAGAAACAATCGCTTCATTAAGAATTTTTTTTTCGATTGTTCATAGCAAACTCAAGCAAAATTAGAATTTATACTAATTCAAATAAGCTTCAAAAACTTTGATTTTTTTTGGTGTATAATCTTCTCTCTCTTTTCCTCCATATCAACATCCTAAATTATCTACAAAATCATTTTAATAGTAAATTCTACTTATTTTAATATAGTAGCGCATATTTCAATTTGAACCATAGCATTGTAACACGTAAAAGCTTGTTTTGCCTGTTAAACTTAAATATTAACAATCAATGAAAGAGTATATAGCTGAAAATTATAGATAACAATGGATGAAAGCTCACAATCATGGGAAGATCTCATCATGAGTCACATGAACGACACTGCATTCCAATCACGAACCTGCAAGATCTATAATAATAAATTGAGTCGTCCTGCCATATCAGATAAGTTATGTCCTTGTGGTCGTATGGTTCGTTGCCATAGTTTCACTGATGAATCTCTAGAATCCAAAGAAGCAAAGCAAGGAAATACTAAATGGGAACCTCCGAAGGTATTTCTCAACATGACTCATTCTGCTAAAGTGCCTATCAATGTTTATGGAACATTGCAATCTACCGGTTGTAAATTTCTTCGAACAGATCTTCGATTACCAATTAAAAATTTATTCCAATTAATTCTTGAAGATTGTGAAAAACAGAAACCAGCTCTCATCCTAAGTATTTATGGTGGAGCCAAATATTTTACTATGACAGAACGTCTTGAAAAAGAATTTATAAGAGGTGTTATTGATGCTGCTACTATGGCCAGTAAATAATTATATTTTGTATATTATTATGTTAATAAATCTATTTAGATGCATGGATTCTTACTGCCGGCGTCAATAATGGTATATCAAAATTGGTCGGTGAAGGTATTTCACATTATCGTCTCTTACGAGAATATTCGATTAAAGTGAAATGTATTGGAATGACTATGTGGAGTACAATAGATGATAATACACGTCTTGACCTTAAAAATGCGTCAAAAGTAAAATAAGGAGAATATTTGTAAGAAATGTAAAACAAAAAAAAAGATTTTTTATTTTGAAAGGGACACCCACCACCATTATGTAAACGACAAATTCCAGAAAATACTCAAGAAGATAAAGAAACAATCGAACCGAATCATACACATTGTATCTTATTCGATGGTGGTAAATTGAATGAATATCTCAGTGATACACAGCGTCATCAATTTGTTACTGAAGCATGCAAATATAAAGATCAAGATAAAGAGAATGATCATACATGTATGTACTTACTTTAAAATGTTCCTACTATCATCAAAATCAATTGAACATATATATGTATAAAGGTTATGCTGTAACAATTATCGTCGAAGGAGGTACGGGTAGTCTTGAAGTTCTTGAAAATGATATTGAAGAAAAACGACCAATTGTTCTAATTCAAGTTCGTATTACAAAACATAGAAGCAATATTTCTGATAAGAAAGGCTCGATTTTTTTCCGATGACTTACGGTCGTTTTCTGCTAGAAAAAGCAGGATGTTAATCATAAGCCATCGGAAAAATCTGAAGAGTTTCTTGTTCGAAATACTGTTTCGAACTTCCATTGGTTTCCAGTATTTTCTTGCCGAAACCGGCGCGCATTTCTTAATCTAAGTAGTCATTCAAATATAGGGTAGTGGTCGTTTAGCCGATGTACTCGCTCTGCTAGTCGAACAGACATCAAATCCTGATCAAAATCAACATTGGTAAAAACAAATATAATGTTGTATCTATTTTTATATTAGATATTTCTTCAACAGGATTCCATCAAAACAAGAAATTAAACAAGCTCTTGATAGATTTTATCCTAATATTCCTGATTCAGATGTTTCTTCAACAATAGGACGAATTGAAAAAATTTTAAAAGAAGAAAATCGTTATCTATTACATGTCTTCTCTATGGATCGTGATAAAAATGTAGCTGAAACGATTTTCGAGGCTATATTTACTGGTATTCATGTTAAACAAATATATTTTCTTATTAACAAATTTTTATCTCGTAGTTACGAAAAAGAAAACTAAAGTAGATGATCAGAAAAATACGAGTGAATCATTGGAACAAGAAAAACAACGTCGAACAGATGAAGATATACTAGTAGATTTAGCACTTGAATGGAATTATTTTGATGGTGTGTCACCAATATTATACGCGCGACAAGGTGATATGGTGAAGAAAAGAAAAGATTTCATAGAGGTAAAATTATGAAAAAATGAACGCTTGCTTGCTAACCCTATGCATACGACAAAAAACAAACGATGAAGTCATTGAGAACGTTATAAATCTTTGATAAAGGGTAATTTTCAACAACATAGTCCAATATTATCGTACAGGTATTCGAATAACATGAAAACTGATTATCAATGTGAATGCATCATACACTTCCTAGTTTTCCTACTCTGACTAATCATGTTCAAATTTATATTCCTACTAAGAGCGTTTGTCTATGGAATTTACTATCATACTTCTATTCAAATCTATTACTATAAAATCCTTGATACTAAAGTATTATTAATATTCCAATAAAATTTTCACATCGAACTTCATCCTTGTTCTATAAAATATACTTCAAGCTACTAAAAGTTTGAATAAGAACGATAGATTTTTAAAAATAGAAGTCTCAATACGTTCGACATTGTTAGTTATTTAATAAATGTCTATCTTTACTTTTCGATTTCATCTCTATTTATTCAAAAAAAAAAAGATATCTCATTTTAAACAATATGAACTTATATGATATTATATTTATATAAAGTAGTTTATCAAAAAAACTTTGGCTAACGTGTTTCAACACTATTCTCAGATGATTCGTTTATTTCTGTTAGTTCTACGTTGGTTCAATAGTGCATAATGAATTTGATATCATTTTCATCTATCCTAAGAAGAAACATGACGGCTATATATAATTGGTACGGTTGGAAGTCACCTGAAAAACTTATATGATAATATACGAGCCTTACGATAAAAAATTGTATTTGTAATCGGCAAAACGAAAAGGCAGTGTCTTTAGTAATAGTCATAGTATAAACATTTTTGAAACCGACTAAGTTATTTCAGAGCAAAAGTAAATATAGATGAAATTTGAGAACGAAAATCGAAAGACATAAAAAGTTTCTAAAAACTGTAAAAGCTGTTAAAACTAACGCTTCTATTGAGCAAAGTTAATTGAACTGGTTTGAGCACTTCTAAATGATATAGATAAATAAACAGATAAGAAATAATTTCTGAAAAAAAGCGTAAGTCTTTCATACAATTGCTTATTTACTTTCGATCTAAATTTATAACGAAAAAAAGATGCAGAGTTCCAAATGGAAATGATGGGAGCTTGTGAGTCTATACTATTAATAGGATATTATATACCCCCTATATACCGTCCATTTTTCTATAGAGTGAGACTCTTGAGGATCTATAGAATTTATATAATTACTATAAACCCCTCATAAAAATAAATAGTATGTAAAGTACATGATATCATTAATATTATTGATTGAGGGCATATCATTTGCATAAGGTTAAGGGAGAGAGAACATGTTTCGTTACTTCCTGTGTTTGGTTGTGAGATGTTTCCAGCATGATGTTTTACAAGACGCGTTCTTCTTTTCAAAATATAGTTTGAAATGAAAAAGACTATACAGTCAAGTTCTTTTTGTCACTTGCAATCATAACACTAAGATAATTTCTTTTTTCTGGGAGTCGATGAAAAGGATATCAAAACAAACTGATACATAGTGTTTTTCATGTACTATTCAACCATACTCGAATTAGTAGAACTCAATGAACATTACAAAAGTAATATGAAAATGATAAGGGTAATTGTTTTTTTTGTTGCAAACCACTATATATAGATACTTATATATGTCGTATCAAAATAATCATATTTATTGAAGGTGCGTTTTTGTATTCCACGAACGCTCATTTCGTTCTGGGCGTGAAAATTTACAACGTTACAAAGATTATTGCAAGGATTTATATGACACAATTTGAAATCTAAATAAAAATCAAAGGTAGTCAATGAACATTGGAAGTTTTCTTGTAAGTTGTATACTACACATGGATAAACCAATGTCACTAAGTTAATTTTGAAACTAATATTGTATAATTCATTATTTTATCGATCACTATATAAAGGGTGTTTCATAATAACTGACGATAAACTGTTTTTTTATATTTTTTATACTTTTTGTTGACCTAGAAAGCTGAAATTTTTATCACATATATATCTAATAATCATCTTCCATTTGTGAAAGTTTCAGCTTTCTAGCTAAAACTAGTGGTGCAATGCATCGATAAGATTGAAATACATAAATTTTCGTACTTAATATTTCAAGGTAGTTCCGTGGGTAGTCAACCAAGAAATCACAAAGTATTCCGAAAATTTTCCTTCGTATCCAACTTTGTAGAACGTTTTTCACTGATCATTTTGGTAAAAACATTTTTCGAATTTCATTGAGAAATGACAATCTTATAGCCAAAATATTTATCTTAAAAACAGAATATGTCAGATTTTTTTGATAGGGAATTTTGTATACAATGTTTAGTTGAGATTTATTTATCCTATTCGCCTGTATCTAAGAAACCGATTATAGAGCTTTGTAGACCAAAGTTTCCTCTACAAAACCTAGTATGTTAGATATT